TCTCCTTCTGAATGCCTGCGTCAGTGTGTCTTGTTCGTGACTCAACACTCTCTGCGCCCTCTTCACTTTTCAACCCACCACCCGTTCACTCCCCACCCCTATCCCAAGCAGCATCTGGTGGTGCTCAGCTCCTTCCTCCGAACGCTCAACATCCGCCTCAAGCGCAGCCAGGGCAACCTGCTGCACCAGAAGCTGGGCCTGTACGGGGACCCGCTGCCGCCCGCCTTTGTGCCGTCCAAGCTTGGCGTCAACCTGCAGATCCACGAGCTCTTTGTGGCTCTCATCGACGACAGGTGAGGAGAGAGACACTGTGCTATGAGGCGGCACGTATATTGACATGCTCATTCTACCCATGGGTCGGGCCTTTTTGTTGTTTGGCGCGCACACGGCACACCCTGGCCGTTGTTTTCGACTCCGGTGCATCTTGCCCTTTCATCCTTTCATCAACATCAACCCTCCCCGCTTATTCAGGATGGGAAACCCCACGTCGGTGCTGGAGCTGGCCGCCAAGAGCATCACCTTTAACGCCAGCAGCCAGATTCTGGTTGACGGCGGGCCCGAGCTGCTCTCCTGCCGCCTCTCCCTCACCCTGCTCTCGAACTTCCTCAACTCCGGCTTCGAGGTACCTCCTCTCCCGCTGCCTTCCCTTGACTTGCCGCCATCTCTGCCTCCTTGTCGCCCGCTGTCAATAATCTCTCCCCTATCCTTCCCTCCTAGTGAGTCTCCCCTCTCTCCATCTTCTCGAAGCCCCTCCTCACCCTTCCCCCTCTTCTCTCTCCCCCCAACTCCCCCCTTACCGCTGCACGTCCCCCCTGCCTATATGCACTCTGCCTTTGTGCCTCCTGTACCTCTGCCCACTGCAGATCATGGAGCCAATGACAGAGGCGTGGGAGCTGGGCGCTGAAGTCAAGTCCACGGGCAACCACGTGACGATAGCGGTGGACTCGCACGAGCTGCTGAACGTGATGTTCACGCCCATGCAGCTGCGCTCGCTGGGAGACGCCCTCAACTTTTACACCATGCTCTCCAACTCGCTGCTTCCCGTGCCTGGGGGCAGCATGCACGGCGGAAGTGACTTTGATGAGGTATTGTATGCATGGGTACAGGGTACGAGTTGCACATCGTGCATGTGGCTTTCCATACGTGCAAGTGGCTATGGCTTTCTCTTTCTTCAGGCATTTTGGGAATGTACAGCTATCTTGCTTCCTTTCGTGCCTCTCGCTGCTGTGTTCTTTCGTCACTGTCTTCCTTCACTCTGACTGCCTTCTTTCTCCACCGTGCAGTTTGGGTCTGCAGCATCCTCAGCGGCTCATGTAGGGCGGCTCTCCAACATGCCAGCTCGGCCAAGATGGCCAGAGTGAGTCATTAGGCCGACGGCTGGGGTTGTGAGAAACCAAGTGATAGTTTGCATTAGGACAGAGAGTTTACATAGATGAGGTCTAAGAAAGGGAGGGGGGGGGGGGGGGGGTTGGTGTTGGCCAATGGACAAGTGGTCCATTGATCTAGTGAGTTGGTGGACCAATGGACAAGTGGTCCATTGATCTAGTGGGTTGGTGGGCCAGTGGGCTAGTGGCCAACCAATTGAGAGGCCCAACCACTTCTGAAAAACCCAATCAATCTTGGGAACCCAACCCCCAATTAGGCTGCGTGTACACCCTTATTGTAGTGTGTTGCTTATAATGACCAAAGACTAACTGATCTATGTAGGCTAATAAATAGAGCAGCATATTCTAACAGGGGTGTCTTGGGGAAAGGATGGGTTTGGTTGGAGGGACGGAAGGTATATGTCATGATACGGATCGATCCCAAGTGGTTGCTTCCTGGCTTCTGTCTTGATAGATATGCAATGTGATGTTGAGTGGGGATGTGATAGCGCACTTGGACTCATCGGCACAGGGAATTATCTGGGTCCTGTTTCCACCCTCATCAGCAGATTGTCAGCTGAGTGCACAGCTTGTGACTCACAACAACCTCCTCCTCTCCCTCCACCCCTATGCCATCAGGCCATGAGCATGCTGAGAGCACGCGAGTACTTCCCCCAGTCCGCAACTCTTGCAGAGGTACAGTTGTCTCTTCAGCAGATGCATTTCAAGTGCTTGTACTGTTGCCTTGCCTAGTTTTGCATACCCAGCCTTGTCCACGTTGTCAATCAACCCTTTCAACCTTTGCCCCGTCCACCATCATGCTGCCATCCCATACATCCATCCACCCATCAGAGGCTGGAGGCATCGCTGCAGGAGGTGGCGGTGGGAATGGTGAGCTACAGAATTGTGAATCTCTCGGGCCACACGCTCTACTACTGGACAGGTGAGTCCGCTTTTGGCATTGATAGGTGAGAGCTATAGGCCCGATAGGTGCGTGCTATGGGCACTGATAGGTGCATGCTCTAGGCATGATTGGTGCGTGCTGCAGGCGCTGACATGTGGAAATTATTTCGATGCTCTATGCCTTTGTTGTGGTGCGCAGAGAAAGAGGAGGACAAGTCCAAGACGTACTCGGTGGAGGAGGGCGAGGAGCAGGTGGTGGAGGTGCAGCCGGTGCAGAAGGTGGTCACGCTGAGGGACACGCGCAAGATCCTCGCGCGCACCATCTGCGTCAAGCTCAAGGGCGACTGGCTGCCCATCAACGACATCGTCATGGATAAGGTGGCTGGCGAGGGTGCGGTGGCGAATGCCACGGAGTGCAGTGCAGCGCATACATTGAGGACTCCACCAGTATAAGCTTCAACCCTGCATTCACTTTCCTGTTCAACCCTGCCTTCACTTTCCCCGAGGCATCCCGACCGAGGGATGCCGCCCAAGGCATGCCATCCGAGGGATGCCGCCCGAGGGATGCCGTCCGAGGCATGCCGCCCTAGTGATGCCGCCCGAGGGATGCCGCACGAGGGATGCCGCACGAGGGATGCCGCCCGAGGCATGCCACCCGAGGGATGCCGCCCGAGGGATGCCGCCCGAGGCATGCCGCCCGAAGCATGCCGCCCGAAGCATGCCACCCGAGGGATGCCGCCCGAGGCATGCCGATGGAGGGATGCCGTGCGAGGGATGCTGACGGAGGGATGCGGCCTGAGGGATGCTGCCCGAGGGATGCCGCCCGAGAGATGTCGTCCGAGGGATGCCGCCCGAGGGATGCCATCCGAGGGATGCTGCCCGAGGGATGCCGCCCGAGGGATGCCGCCCAAGGGATGCCGCCCGAGGGATGCCGCCTGAGGCATGCCGCCCGAGGGATGCCGCCCGAGGGATGCCGCCCGAGGGATGCCACCTGAGGGATGCCGCCCGAGGCATGCAGCCTGAAACATGCCGCCCGAGGGATGCCGCTGGAGGCATGCCGCCCGAGGGATGCGGCCCGAGGGATGTGGCCCGAGGGATGCCGCCCGAGGGATGCCGCTCGATGGATGCCGCCCGAGGCATGCCGCCCGAGGGATGCCGCGCGAGGGATGCGGCCCGAGAGATGCCGCCCGAGGGATGCCGCCCGAGGCATGCCGCTGAGGCATGCTGCCCAAGGCATGCCGCCCGAGGCATGCCGCCCGAGGGATGCTGCCCGACCGAGGGATGCCGCTCGAGGGAGGCTGGGCGAGGGATGCCGCCCGAGGGATGCCACCCGAGGGATGCCGCCCGAGGGATGCCGCCCAAGGCATGCCGCCCGAGGGATGCCGCCCGAGGCATGCCGCCAGAGGGATACCGCCCGAGGGATGCCGCACCATTTTCCTGTTCAACCTTGCCTTCACTTTCCTGTCTTCACTTTCCTGTTCAACCCTAAACCTGTCTCTCCCCATCCCCCCCTCCCCCCGCCTCTTCTCTCCACCCAGGTGGGCAAGTACGTGATGGACCTGCAGCTGCCCGGGAGCACGGTGGTGCTGCCGGTGGTGTTTGACGTGACGCTCAAGTCGCGCACCAAGATCATCACGGTGCACTCCACCATGCACCTGCGCAACGACCTCGACGTGCCGCTCGTCTTCTTCGCGCTGCTGCCCAGCCCCAGGGAGACCGGCGGCGAGACTGCCAAGTCCTCCTCGCAAGTCTCCAAGTTCTCACTCGGTGGGGCACTTGTGTCTGCAGTTGCATTTTACTAGTCTGCACTGTGTGCTGCTGCTGTGTGTTGATTAGACATGGGCACCATGCCGAGCCTGGCTCGACTCGGCTCGGCGAGTCGAGCTGGGATTTTTTTTTGGCCGGCTCGACCCGAGTCGAGCCGGGTCGAGCCGGTCGAGCCGCGCGGCTCGGCTCGACTCGTCGCAAATTTCAGGGCGAGCCGAAGTCGAGCCGGCTCGACTTTGGCTCGACTCTCGAAGCGCGCGGCTCGCCCGTGGGGGGTCAAAATTCGACCCTCCTGGAAGTTGACAATCCATTCTAGGTTTTCGCCATCGAGCCTAAGCGTAATTCTGAGCTATTTCGCCACCCTAGCTTGCCCTCTCTCCACCAACACTGCTACTTTATATTTTTTTTTCGAGTACCTCTTGGTGTTGTAGGAAGGATCTAAGGGTTTAGGGACCTTTACCTGCAGAACCTTTACAGCGATCTAGCAAGACCTTTTCAAAACCTGCAGAAGAAACCCTTTTGGCGAGTCGAGCCGAGCCGAGCCAAAGTCGAGCCGACCCTTGGCTCGACCCTGAACCCCCGAGTCGACCCAACCATTTTGGGGCAGCCGGCTCGGGTCGAGCCTAGTCGGCTCGGCTCGACTTTTGCCTGGCTGGAGTTCGAGTCGAGCCGAGTCGAGCCAGGCTCGGCATGCTGCCCATGTCTAGTGTTGATTGCCTTTCTCATCCATTGCTGTATGACTGTAATAGTAACTCAACTTTCTTCTGTGCGTGCATATGTGTGGATATGCCTCCATGTGGGGTTGCCCTGTGTGTGTGGCAGGTCCCATAGCTCCCGAGCATCAGGTCTTCATGCCCATCTTTGCCGCTCTGGGAGGCCAACTCATGGCTCAAGCACAGGTGCGTGTTGCCACGGCTCAGGCACAGTCACCTAGTCCCAGGTAAAATCTGACATGCGAGCACTGCACCGCACTGTTCCCCTCTTTTCCCTGCTCACAGTTACCCTCCCTCCCTCCCCTCCCCCCCTCTCCCCTTCCTCAAACTCAGGGCTTTGCTCGCGCTGAGAAGGACGTGGTGGCGCTGGAGCCGGAGCACCTGCTGGAGCAGCAGGGCCTGCTGGAGTTTCCCATCCTGCAGCAATGCACCCGCTCCCTGCTCGGGGGCGCAGGCAGCAGCAGCAGCCGGCACCTGAGCCACATCGGCAGCATGGCACGGAGGCATAGCGATGGCGGGGGGAGCTTGAGATTGAGTGACTATGGGAGCGTGAGGAGGGGGAGTGTGGGGAACGAAGGAGAGGATGATTTTGATCGGAGCAGTGCTGGAGGGGGTTCTCTGGAGGAGTTTGACACTGCGAATGATGTGAGGCGGCCGTTCTACTGCTGCTTGCAAGTGACCTCGGATCCTCTAGCCCACAGTGCGAGCAGCGGGCTGTATGAGGAGTTCACTCTCTCTTTCGTGCCCCCTGTGGCCATCCAAAACGGCCTGCCGTACGACATTGAGGCGTATGTCTGGGACGTGGAGTGGGGCACACGGCACATTGTCTACGTCCCCTCTGGTCAGTCCACTCCCCTGCTGTGCCTGCTTTGCTGATGCTGTCCGTTCTTCCACCTCTTCCGCTGCCATCCCTGTTGCCACTACTGCTGATGCTTCTGTGCCTTTTGTTTGCCATCCTTCATCCATCATGGTTCTACATCCTGTACTTCTCCCTCTTCGTTTTCCTCTGCTGCCTGCATCAGGCGAGTCTCAGGACCTCTATCACGTCAGCTTGGACCACACACTCCAAATGCACCTTGCGGTAAGCCCCTTGGCTCCTCTCTGCACTGCCAACGTTTTGTTGGGGCTTGGTTGCTCGTAATCGCATGAACGTGGTGGATTGTGTAGAAGCTTTTCGTCCTTTGAAAGTGCCAAAATGCAAAGTGCAGTCATGCTAACATCTTGTTTCCCTTCTTTTTCCGACTTGTAAGCGCTTAATGCCTCTTATTCTCAATCCCCCCTTCATGTGCTTGGCTTCTCTGCTGCAGCTCTTTGTGCCTGGGGCGGAGTACAGGACGCGCCGTCGATACGCCATCCACTTCCCTCCCAAGTGAGCCCAATCAGTCAACCTCTCGTGTCCATTAGGGTCTCCCGAGAGACACCCGTCACTCTTGTCCTTTCCTTGTCATCCGTTCAGCTCACCCTCTCTCCACCACTATTCAATGCTCTCACCTCTCAGGCTCTCAACCCCCCCTCCATCTCCTCCTCTCCACAACCTCTCTCCCACAGCCCGTTGCTCCAGAAGCAGTTTGGCAGCCGTGCCTTTGCCTACGACGTCCGCAGCCTCCGCCTGGCAGTCAAGTGCCGCCTCTTCCCACAGCACAACCCATCTGCGTCGCCCATAATGCTCTCCATCGACAACCGCCACAACTGGCAGTCGCGCAACCGCAGCATCGCGCTGCTCGCGCACTACTGGGTCGTCAACCTCACCAAGTTCCGCCTCAAGCTCTCCACTGGCTCCTCCAACAACCCTCTCGACTGCCCGCGCTACCAGGAGGGCCAGCCAGCCCTGCTCAATGTGCGCCGGGGGGCGATCACCGCGATCAGCTTGGATGGATTCCATTGGTCCAAGTCGATCTCAATAGATTCTGTCGGGATCAAGGGGTCGGTTGCAGTTGCTGGCCCTGCCTCCACACTCTCACAGCATCAGCATCAAACCTCGCAGCAGCATAGCGGTTCTTCGGCGGGTTCTGCTTTGCTGCGGCAGCACACAACAGAGGAGTGGGAGAACGTTGTGCAGCTGGATGCTCCTGCTGGCACTGCCTCTCGCCGTGCCACCTCCATCACACCCTTCCCAGTCAGTTTCTCTTCCCTTGCAAACTTTCTCGAATGCTAACACAAACGCATGCACACATGCCCCCATGCCTGCACACCACACCGCTGCAACAACCACCCCACCCTCACCAGACTCCCACTCTCCCCTCACTCCCACTCACCATCCCACCCTCACCTACATCTTTCCCCTTGCTTCCCCCTCCCCAGACCCTGCGGCGCTTTGAGTTTGGTGTGGAGGTGCGGCTGGCCCCTTCAGTGTGCGAGGGCACGAAGCTGGTGATCATCTCGCCGCGCTTCATGGTGTCCAACCAGACCGGGCAGCCCATCCAGATCGCACAGATTGGCACCACCACTGCTCGGGTACGTTGTTTATTTTGTCACCACCACCACTGCTCGGGTACGTAATTCCTTGTCAGTTTGGCTGTTGAAGCCTCGGCTGCACGCAGCAGCATGCCCGCATGGCGCTTCCCTGTTCTCCCTGGTTGAAGTCTGAACCCCACTCACGGCTCTCCCCTGCTGCATCTGACTGATTTCGATCACTGTGGCCGCTTGGCAGGTTCTGGGGGACAAGATGCAGCAGCCGTACCACTGGGATGACGAGAGGCTCGGGCCGTATCTGGTGGCTCGGTTGCTGAGCAGCGAGCTGGAGGATGATGAGATGGATGACGAGGAGGAGGAGGATGAGGAGGAGGAGGCTGACGGGGAGAGCTTTTCCTCTGAGGAGGAGAATGGTGAGGGGGAGGAGGAGGATGGGAGAGGGGAGAGAGTGGGGGAGAGGCTCGAGGGACGCAAGGGACACGAGGTGGGTGAAAGGCAGCTGGTGCGGAGGGACACAGAGGAGTCGCATGTTTCAGACGAATCCATGGAGGGCAGCGGTCAGGTGCGATTGGGGTTGGACGGAGGAGCTGGAGGCGTGGATGATGGTGGGGCCAGCAGCAGCAGTCACATGCTGGCGATGGGGCTGTCAACGACCCAAGAGACAGCCTCAAGTGGCAGGCTGAGAGGCAGCATTGGCAGTAACAGGCAGCCCCACAGTGGCGGCAGAAGCAGGCAGGGGGTGAGCAGTAGCACTAGAAAGGAGGAGGAAAGGCGCAGCAGGAGGGAAGAGGGGAGCAGTAGACGCACGGATGGGAGCAGCAGGCGATCAGGAAAGAACGGAAGTGGAACGAGTGGCAGCCACACGGAGAGTAGAGCGAGCAGCACAGGGGGGTCTGGAGCGCTGAAGAGGAGTGGGGGAAGGGGGCCGAGGAGCAAGGGGGAGATGGATGTGGACTGGGACTGGTCTGGCGCCTTTGATATAGACAAGCCGGGGGAATCTGCAGTGCGGATTAAACACCGGCACAAGAAGGGCAAGTACGCCATCATCTCTATCGATGTCTCGCTCAACGGCGCCTCGGCTCTTGTCACCTTTGATGTCTGCAACTCGAAACACAAGCCCCCGCCCTATCGGTAAGAGCCATACTTTGCATGCCATGTCAACATGTGCATCCATTCACTGCATGTCAGCATGTGCACCATTGCACTGCATATCAACATGTGCATCATTACACTGCGTGCCAACATGTGCATCCCGTGCCATGGTTCCAAAGTAGAGTATCCATGAGTTTAAAGCCATGCTTCTTTGTTTCAGGGTGCTCTCTATCTATCCCATCCGCAACTGTGTCCTCTCGCTAACCATGTGCCTGCCAGGATTGAGAACCGGTCGGCCTTCATGAGCATCAAGTACGGGCAGCTCACCACCGCCACGCGGCAGCGGCTGCCTCCCAACCACTCCACCAGCTACGCGTGGGACCAGGTGCGTCTTTTCAAGGGAGCCCTGCCTATTTTAGGCCTTTGCTGCCTCACTTGCTGGTTTCTCGTGGGCATTGAAGGGAGTCCAAGTGGCTGATTCCCCTGCTTCACATGCTTTCTTTCTACACCTTTTTCTTTCCTTCACCATCCTGATTCGATGATCTCTGTCAATTTTGCCGCTCCTTTCGCTGCCGTCCTGCCAGCCGCGCATGGCCCACCTGCTGCACGTTGAGATCGAGGGCTTCAACATGACCCGCGAGTATGACCTGGACGACATCCGCGAGCTGCCCACCGTCATTCTCTCCGAAGACGACTTCACCGGCAACACGTCATTGCGAGACAGGTAGGCAGCGAAACAGGTAGGCAGCGAGACAGGTAGGGGCCTCTGGGAGAGTGGCAGCTGGTGCGGCAGGACACTGAGGAATCACACCAAGGGCCTGGGAGCGAGTGAGTGATGACCTGGACGACGTTAGGGAGCTTCCCACCGTCATCCTCTCTGAAAACGACTTTACTGGCAACTGGTTGCAGTGCGACAGATGCGTCTCTGACGATGAGACAGGCAGGTATCTCCTGATGGTTGAAGGAGCAAAAGATAGCTCGGACCTGAAGGAGGATGGATATGTCATCAGCTCACCACCCACGTGCTGCCTGCGTATCTTCTTGCCTTCCATTCCACCATGTGCCCTTGACTGTATAAAGCTTCCTCTGCCTCCCACCTCTTTCATCATGCCCCACCTTGCCCCGCAGGATGTTTGTGATGGTGGGGACGCAGGCGCGAGCCGTGGCAGTGTTGTACGTGAACGTGTATGCGGACGGGGCTACCAGAGTGCTCTCCTTCTCCGACACCAAGCACACCTCCAAGTGCGTTCCTCGGTTTCAACTCCTCGTCCCTTTTCCCAGCTGCACATAGCCTTGACGCCACTTCCACTGTCACTCACACCCATGCATGACATGTTTCCTGTGCCCTTCTGAGCCGTGTTTGAACCCATTTCTTGCCCTGCATGTCTAGGCGCCTCAGAACCCTGTTTGTGCTCGCGGTGCCTGCCTGCCTGCAGGGTATCGGAGGACGACGAGCGCGCCTCGCTGCAGGAGAAGCTCCAGGTGACGGGCGAGAGAATCGACTTCGCCCGCAAGGTTCTGCAGCGCACTCGGGCCCTCGCTGGGGACGACTCAGGGGATGCTTCTGAGGCGGAGGTAAGAAGACGTATGGGCTTTCCCGTTGGTCCGTTGATGTGTGAGAGACCTAGGTAAGGCTACCTTTCAGGTGATTCGATCCAGTGGGTGCCTTTGTGTAGTTGTTATGCGAAATGAGACTTCAGTCTTTAACACAAAAATGAACTTTCATTCTTCCCATTACCCCCCCGATTCCCTGCGCTTTTCACCCTGCAGCCGTCGTACATCCAGACGCCTGAGTACAGTGCAACAATGGCCAGTTTCACGTCCAACAAGTTCCCCTCCCTGCCCGCTGTTGACAGTAGCTCCTCTGGCAGCCACTCTCGCAGCACCGTGCCGCTCCTTCGCAACAGCAATGCCACTCCTGCCGTCACCACAAACAGCAGCAACCCTGCTGCTGCTGGTTCTGGCCCTACAATGGAGCACACTGCTTCCGGCACACATTCGGAGGCCTCCTCCCCTCGCACTCCTCCAGCCACCCTCGACTCTTCCCTTGGCAGCGCTGATCCCTCAGCTGCTGGTCCAGGGGCTGGTGATCCTAGCCCCATGTTCACTCCGCCAAGAAGCCCCCTCCTGCGGAGCACTGCCCTCCTCCCCTCCACAGCTGCTGCCACTGCCAAAGAGGCTCGGTCTGCTTTCCCTGCGAGCAGCAGGGCCGTCAGTGCTTACTTAGATGCGTCTGCTGAGCACCGCAAGTCGCAGCACGGCAAGGCGAAGCACCGGAGGTGTAGGAGCCAAGAGTCAGGACTGGTGCAAACAGGAGAGAGCATGCCAGGCGCCATTATGAGAAGAGATGGAAAGACATCAGCTGATGTGGATGGCAAGGCACGGAAAGGGAAGGGTGTTGCGAAGGATGATATGGAGGTTTTGGAGGTGTTGAAAAGGAGTGGTAGATGGGAGAGAAGCGGTGACACCTACACAGAAGGCAGCAGTGTTGTGGGCATGCCAGGCTCTCAAGAAACACCCAGAGTGCCTGGTTTGTCAGTCGCCGAGCAGACAAGGGCAGAGGCAAAGAAGCTCCTCCAGCCAGAGGCAGGAAGCAGTGGCAGTGCAGAGGAGCATGCAAGCAAGGCAGCACAACTGAAAGGACAGGAGCCCGGTTCTTTATGCACCGAAGTGACAAGGGCAGAGGCAAACAACCTCTTGCAGTCACAGGCAGGAAGCAGTGGCGGTGCAGGGGAGAATGCAGGCAAGGCAGCACGGCTGAAAGGGCAGGAGGCCCTGGACTACCTGTATCTCCCTGCAAGCGCGCCTGACGTGCCCGAGTACCCAATGCGGCTGGTGGAGATGACAGCACGTGGCGTGCAGGCAGGGCTGCAGGTTGTGAAGGCAGGGATAGGGGTGGTGGAAGGGGTAGGGGGGGCGGTGGTGGAGGAATACATGGAGGAGAGTGGAGGGAAAGAGATGGGGGGCGAGAAGGTGTTGGCAAAGGCGTTGACAAGTGAGAAACTGGAAGGGGCAGCAGGAGTGGCAGTTAAGGAAGAGGCGCATCTAGGGGAGGTGGCTATGGAGACAGATGCAACGGCAGCAGCTGATGCAGCAACACGCTCAGACGCCTCAGCTGTAGGTGGAGAATCAGTGGGTGAATCAGCTTCACCTGCTGCAGCTGGTGGGTCGGCAGATTCCAGCATGTGTGCTTCTGCCTCCTCTTCTACTGCCTCTGGGTCTGGTGAGAGGGGTGGAGCTCCACCAATCAAAACAGGTGGGGGGTCGTGGCGTAAAATGAAAGGGCTGCGGTTGGCGTTCATGAATCTGGAGAAGGGGAAGAAAAAGGCAGACCTGCCTGGACCGAAACAACCACAGGAGGCCACAGGAGCACGAGGGGAGGATGGTGCGGATATGAAGAGGGAGGATGGCGCGGATATGAAGAGGGAGAATGGCGTGGATATGAAGAGGGAGGATGGTGCGGATATGAAGGGGGAGGATGGCGCGGATATGAAGGGGGAGGATGGCGCGGATATGAAGAGGGAAGATGGTGCGGATATGAAGAGGGAAGATGGTGCGGATATGAAGAGGGAAGATGGTGCGGATATGAAGAGGGAGGGTGGTGCGGATATGATAAGGGAGGGTGGTGCAGATATGAAGAGGGAGGATGAAGGGGGACAGGACAGCAGGCCAGAGAGGGGTATTCCTGGGGGCAGTGACGAGGGCCATCTCAGAGTTTTAGAGGCTGCTGCGTCTTGTGATAGGGAGGGGGGGCTGACAAGTGTGATGGAAGGCACAGAGGAGGGAGGAGGTGGGGAGGGCAGTAGCAGCACGGCAGGCAGGGAGCAGAGTAGTGCAGCCACAGGTGTGGGGAGCAGTGGGGACGAGGCAGGGGAAACAGATAGGAAGACTGAGGGCGTGCGTGTGTCAGATGCTGGGGAGGGAGAAGGGGCAGTTGGAGCCCAATCCGAGGACGAGCGTGGAGAGGAACAGGGAAGAGTGGTGGTGGTTGAGAGGTGGAAAGGAGGGGCGGAAGGGGATGGAGGAGGAGACCTTGGGCTTGCGAGAATGGAAGTGCCAGTGACTGCGTCTCTGCTGAGCTCCTCACTGGCTGCTGCCCGCTTTGTGCTGGGGCTGAAGAGAGGGAGGGCCCTGCTTAAAGATGGTATCAGTGAGGGGGAGGGGGCTGGGGAGGAGGTAGGTGCTGGAGCTGAGGCGGAGAGTCAACTTGCTGTTGCTACAGGTGCTGCTGCTGCAAGTGGTGCTGCTACAGATGGTGCTGCTGCAAGCGCTGCTGCTACAGGTGGTGCAGCTTCAGGTGGTGCTGTTGCAGCTGTCGCACAGACTGTTGATTTGAGTGCTGCGGAATCTAGTTCCTCTGCGGTTACTGGTGCCAGAGGAGGGCGCATGGAAAGTGATGCAGGTGGTGCTGATGCGGATGGTAAAGCCCTTGACGCCAAGCCCGCTGAAGCCAATGTCGATTCCAGTGCTGATGATACCCATGCTGAGACCAACGCATCTGGAGGAGGGAGTGCAGATCAATTCTCTCCCAGTGCAGGAGCCGTGTCAGTGTCAGACGGTGCTGGGTCCACTGCTAGTCTAGTCTGTCCCAGTGCCTCCAGCCCCAGAAGTTCCGGCCCTGCCTCTGCCACTGTCACTGCCCCAGCCACAGCTGCAGCTGCTGCTAGTATGCCTGCCGCAACTACAGGTGCTGCTGCCACTGTGCCCCCTGTAGCTGCTGCTGCTGCTGCCACCGCCAACAGCAGGTCCGCAGGAAGCAGTCTGAATGCGAAAAGCAGTTTCAAAGCAGCTGCTGCTCGAATTGTCAAGCCTGCCGCTAAGCCTCACAGGACCACGTTTTCTCAGGTGGTCACTGGTGCCACGGCCCCTACTGCAGCTCCAAATGCCCCTGTTCCAGATACCGCCGCCACTGCTGCTTCGTCTGTCCCAAACACACGTGTGGCTGCTGAGGCTGTTGCTCCTGTTGCTGTACCTCCACCTGTCTCTGCTGCCCCTGGTTCTGCCTCAACAGTCCTGGCTGCTTTTCCTGGTGAATCTGTGCCAGTGCCTGCGGCTTCACACGATGCTGTCCCTGGTGCCTCAACAGCCTCTGCCTCGTCTCCCCTTCTTTACAAAATAGCCACATCCGAACCAGTCACAGATGCCGACAGAGCTGCTGTTCCCGCTCCTGCTACTTGTGGTCCCATGCTGCTTGCAACAGCAGCAGCAGCGAACGCCGAGTCAACTCCCCACCTGGACTCGCTCTCTTCCTTCCCTCCTCTCAATCGGCATCAGAATCAACCGAGACCACCAAGTGCTGGCAGCACCGGATCGTCTGGAAAGCTCCGGAAGCCATTCCAGGGAACAGTTACCAAGCTGATAGGGTCCTTTAGTAGACGTGGGCAGGAGAGACTGGCTGAGGTTGCCAAGGCTGCCGCTGCTGCTGCTGTGGCCACTCCTGCGGCTGCTGGTGAATCTGTTGCTGCAGGCGCCTCTGTTGGTGTGGCCACAGCTGCGACAGCAAATGCTGATTCTGCTGCTTCTGTCACTACCTCTGCTACTGATTCTCCAGCTAGCGATGTGCTCTTGCTGCCCACTGCAGCAGCTGCTGCTGCTGCTGCTACTGGCACTTCAACTCACAGCAGCAGTGAGCGGCAGTTGTTGGTGACCTTTCCGCCTTCTGAGCTCTCTCAGTCAGCAGCAGAGGCGGAACAACACAGCTCGCACTCCACAGTTGCACCGGCAGCAGCTGAATCAGCAACAGGAGCAGCAGATGGAGATGCAGCATCGTCTGGAACCACAGGCGCTCCTGCGGTGCACATCCCCATTGATTCGCCGCCTGCAAGCCACCGACAATCGTCTCCCGAAACCAGAGCAAAGCCCGCCCAAAGCCGTGTGTCTTGGAAGGGTGTTGTGGGCCGGGTTGGAGGCAGCACCAGTGCTGCTGTGGTCAACACGGGGAAGAGTGTGAAGGGGGCTGCATCGGCCATGCACTCCGCTGCTGCTGCTTTCCTCGAAGGCACGTCGGAGAAAGTTCGGGAGACGTTTCACGAGGCGATGGAGGCGTTTGAAGTGGCGGAGGAGAGGGTAGAGGAGTTGCGCGCTGAGGAGGGTTTTAAAGCGCAAGTAGGTGCAATGAAGGCGGTGCGCTCTGTTGAGTCTTTCTTTGAGAGCCAGGCAGGTAACCTGGCAGAAGCTACCCTTGTGCCCAGAATGGTCGGATCAGCAACAGTTGCAGAGCTCCGGTCGCACTGGCCCCATGACAGCTTCCGGCTGCCGGCATCTCAAAGCGAAGGGGGGTCACACAGGGGCGCGGACAGCACTGAGGTCCTGCCCGTGCCTTCAATAGAGGAGCTCCAGAGCATGGCAGGGGCGGTAGCAGATGCTGAGCTGGAATATATTGGGCAGAATCGACCCTCTGGATTGGTCAAGAGCGCAAGTGTGGCGGCAGGGCAGGTGGCAGCAGCGGCAAGGAGAGGCCAGGATGTGGTGGCGAAGGTGGGGTCGGTGGTCAAGGGAGCCGTGGGGAGATCCCTGGCGGCAGGGTCAGAGGTGGCTGTAGCAGAGACGAAGGCTCTGATGGCCGGCACGGCTGTAGCGCTGATTGCTGTGTCGGGCAAGCTGGGAGAGGTGAAGGAGCAAGTGGGACAGGATGTGGAAGTGGGGTTGGCGGAGTGGCGGCGGCGCATGCAGGAGGCGGGGCACGGGGCGGAGGAGGAGGAGGACATCAGCGAGATGCGGCAGGTGCGCATCCAGCTGGGCAACGAGGAGTACGACGCCGGGGCCATTGTCGGTGGCGACGTGACGATTCACCTGATCAAGGCCCGGGACTTGGGGGTTAGACCGGAGAAAACGCATCCGTATGCGGTGATTCACGTGGAGGGGCGGCGGCACCGGTCGTCGGTGTGCAAGGGGACGGTGTGCCCGCAGTGGGACGAGCTGCTGGTGTTCAAGGGCGTGTCCACTGCGTCCAGCATGACTGTGTCTATCTTCAGCCAGGAGACCATTGGCCCGCATAAGTTCCTTGGACAGGTGAGCAACGGCCCTCCCTCGCTCAACCGTGCGTTGCCAACATTGAGCTGTGCTGCTCCCCACTTCTCCTGTGTAAATGCCAACGGCTCTTGTTGCTTGTGCATGCCTTGCTGATTGCTGACCTGTCCATCACCCGTCACTGGTAATTGTGCCCACCATTTCCCTCCCTTGCCGCTATTGGCGCCATGGCCCACAAACTCCCCTCTCCCCCATGGCTCCCATGCACCCAGGTGGTGCTGCCTCTGGTGGACGGCAGGGCGTTGAACCGCGAGCCCGGGTGGCACAAGCTGAGTCGGCGCACGGCGCATGAGACGGTCAGGGGGAGCGTGTTCCTCTCCACGTCCTGGGATGCCACGGAGCTCGAGCTCATGGCGCTGCAGGTGTGTTGATGGGCGAGCATGTATCTACTAAAGGCTGAACGCTTGTACAATATGGTGACCACAAAGCAGTCACCAGTGTGTGTTCCGCCCCTTGCCTGTGCCCCTTGCATCTGCCCCGCGCCTTTGCAAATCTGCATTTTCAGCTGCGCACCAAGGAAGCAGAGCTGGACGCACTGGAGGTCCTCCCTTCCATCATCCTCCACCATTTGCCTCTACCATTTGCTTGCCATTTTGCCACTTCAACTGCGCGCCAAGGAGGCAGAGCTGGACACACTGGAGGGGCGGCTAGCTCCATCATCCTGACCACTTCCTCCATCATCCCCCATGCTTTGTGCCTCTGCCCCCCTAACCTCCCCCCCCCCCCCCCCTTCCCCATTCCTGCAGCTGCGCGCCAAGGAGGCGGAGCTGGACGCCTTGGAGGAGCGGCTGGCGCAGGAGAGGGAGGCGCGGCCGCGGGAGGCAGCCATGGCAGCAGAGAGTGTGGCCAACCCGCACCAGCTGCACGCGCACCCGCCCGTCACCCCCGTGCGCACGCCTGGAGGCGGGCCCATTCTGCGAAGGATGTTCACCCTGAGGGGGCAGGGGGGGCCGGGGGTGCTTCCGGCTGGAGCCTCCATGTCGCCGGGCGTGGCGCAGCAACATACCGCCAGGGGGCAGCTCAAGGTGAGGGGTGGAGCCAGAGGGCTGAGACTAAAGGGGTGGAATGCAAGGGATGAAACGAGAGAGCGAATGAGAGAGATGACTTGAGAGCGTTTCCAGGTAGCGCTGACTGTGGTGAAGCAGCTTGATAGTATGCTTCTATCAGGAGGCAGTACTGAAGGAACTAGCTTTGAGGAGAAAAGAGTGAATTGAGTAGAGAGCTAAGAGGCTCTATTGTACAAACAAGGAGCAAGGAAGAGTTGGAAGGGAAGCTCTCCTATTGGCCATAATGTGGACCAATGGGAGAAGTTGCTTGGAGGGCAAGCAACCTCAAAGTGTGGTGCTCTCCGATATATATATATATATATATATATATATATATATATATAGAGTTTACAACAAGTACTACAAGGTGAGGGAAGGCTGCTGCGGCTGCTGCACTCCCTTGTGTTTTTTTCTCCTTTCTCAAGCACTACCTCTCGCCACATCACGCCCCTCACTCTTCCTTCTCACCCGGACCATCTCCAGGTGTAGGTGGCGAGGCACGGCACCTGGCGGTGACTGCAGAGTGGCTACAGTGCAGTACGTGCATCTAAATGCACACTTCCGCTGCGCTCAACCCCTTCACTCCCCCATTCCTTCTCACCCATACCATCTCCTGGTGAAGGTGTTCGAGGCACCTGGCGGTGCCAGCAGAGTAGCTGCCCTCCGTGGATCGAATGCACACCTTTGCTGCTCTCCCCGTCGTCTCAACCCCATCACTCCTATCCCACGTCCCCTCCTCTCCCACGCCATCTTCAGGTGAAGGTGGTCGAGGCACGGCACCTGGCAGTGCCAGCAGAGTGGCTGCGCATTGTGCATCGCATGCGCGCCTTTGCGGCTCTCTCCGTGGTGTCCGCGTCGGGCACCAGCACACTGCCCGTGAAGACGCGGGCCATCAAGGGCAGCTTCTTCCCCAAGTGGAACGAAACCTTTGCCATCAATGATGTCGCGATCACCTCCTCTTTGCGGGTGCAGGTATGGGCTGGGTTAGGTAATGCTGGTACAGGTATGGGCTGGTCAGGTGGTAGCGGTGTTAATATGAGGTGGGTTGGCTTCTGGGAAATTCCAAGCACCAGCTCGCTCCGTGCATCGGATGCACGTCTTTGCGGCTCTCTCCGTGGTGTCCCCGTCGGGCACCAGCACGCTGTCCGTAAAGACACGGGTCATTCCCCAAGTGGAACGAAACCTTTGCCATCAATGATTTTGCGCTCACTTCGTCTTTGAGGGTGCTTGTATGGGCTGAGTTGGGCTGAGTTAGGTGGTCGCGGTGAGGGTGCTGGGTCGGGTAGTGCTGGTGCAGGTATGGGCTGGTTCAGGTGGTGCTGGTGCAGGTATGGACTGGTTCAGGTGGTGCTGGTGCAGGTATGGGCTGGTTCAGGTGGTGCTGGTGCAGGTATGGGCTGGTTCAGGCGGTGCTGGCGCAGGTCTGGCTTGGTTCAACTGATCCCATCGTTCTGGTCATCCCCCTTCGCCCTGGTAACCTCCTTTCATCACCCCTGCACTGCACCCGCCCCTTGCATCCCCTGCAGGTATTTGATAAGCCAAAGCTGGGCAGCCCTAATCTCCTGGGCGAAGCCACAGTGGACGTGACCAACTTCAAGGTGCGGCCACAATCAGACAACAAGGATGAAATTTGATGTCAAGGCCAAAACTGAAGTCGTTGGAAGCCTTTTTTCATCGGAAGCCAAAGCCACGTGGCTGCCAGCCGTTTCTTTCCTCTTGCAGGATTGTATCATGTCTTCGATGCTTCAATCGCCAGATTGCTCAGTTTTCTAGAGGAACTCATCTCTCCTCGTGTTTCTCCTGCTCTGTTCGCTCTGCTCTTCACTATCCTGTGTTTGCTGTCTCCCAGGATGGCTTACCACAGTACATGCTGCTGACTCTGAAGCGAAGCGCAGGAAGAGAAGGGGTGTGTAACTGTCTGCTCCTTCCTCCTCTTTTCTCTCTCTTCCCTCCCCCCCTCAATCCATCTTCCCTTCCTCTCACCCCATTCCGCCCTCCTCCCCTCTCACTGTCCCCTCTTCTCCCCCCATCTCTCTCCCCTTCCCCAGTCTCTGTCATGTCTCACATGCATCCATCCTCCCCAAACCTGTTCACCTTGTGCCGACTCCCGCTGCCCTTTCCTTCCTTCACCTGCAGGAGCCGGAGGCGGTGGGCGGCAGCATTCGGCTGCGAGTGCAGTGGATGGTGGACCAGGGGAAGAAGACGGAGGAGAAGACAGGTGTCAACTTCGTGGTAAGAGGAGAAGACAGGTGTCAACTTCGTGGTAAGAGGAGAAGACAGGTGTCAACTTCGTGGTAAGAGGAGAGGACAGATGTCAACTTCGTGGTAAGAGGAAAAGACTCGTACCTGAGACGTCCCCACCCCTGCTTATGTGTCCGCAGTTCAGGGTTCTTCTTCTCCGTTCAATTGCCACTTTCATCGTTTCTTGCCTCTCTTTGCACCCCTCTCTCTCTCCAACTGTGCCTCTCACTCTTTCCCAATCTCTCCTCCATCAACCTTTCCCTCGATCCCTTTTCTCTCCCCCGCCAACCTCTCCCAGTTGAACCTGCGCGGGCTGACCCTGTCCATAGTGGACCGTCTACCGCGGGAGATAATGCTGATGCTGCTGGAAGACATCTGCTGCTCCTGGGAGGAGTCGGTACGATGGGAAGGGGAGGGGGGAGGTGGGTGATAGAGGGACTGAGGGAGTTGGCGATGCGGCAGGGGCAAAATGGTGAGGCATGGGAGGAGTTGTGAAGCGATGACAGGGAGAGATGATTTGAAATCACTGCCGTTCCTACAATGCTCTTTATGAGCTCCTCAGTATTCCGTCTGCTCGCCTTGTTTCTCTCCCTCCCTTATTACTTGCTGCCTCACCTCCATGTGTAGGGCAAGCTGCAAGCTGCAGATGACACCCCTCACACCACCCCCGCCCCATTCCCCCTCCGCTGCCCCTCCCCCACCGCAGGTGAAGGAGGTGGCGGGCAAGGTGGAGGTGGGCAAGCTGCAGGTGGACAACCAGCTGCTCACCGCCCGCAACCCCGTCGTGCTCTCGCGCACCATGGTCAGACCCCCTTGCGCTCTCTCCCTCCTCCCTCGCACGGCTCGTTTCCCCATGACTCTCTCACATTCTCATTCATGCGCATCAAATCGTCTCTCACCACCCTCCCCCATCACCCACCTCGAATCCACCCTCTGACTTTTGACAACCCACCCCCCAAACCCCTTCCCTCCCACTCCCTTTCCCCTCCCCCTCCTCCCACTCCCTTTCCCCTCCCCATCCTCCCACTCCCCTTCCCTCCCCCTCCTCCTACTCCCCTTCCCCTCCCACTCCCGTTCCCCTCCCCCTCCTCCCACTCCCGTTCCCCTCCCCCTCCTCCCACTCCCCTTCCCCTCCCCCTCCTCCCACTCCCCTTCCCCTCCCCCTCCTCCTACTCCCCTTCCCCTCCCCCTCCTCCCACTCCCCTTCCCCTCCCCCTCCTCCTACTCCCCTTTCCCTCCCCCTCCTCCCACTCCCCTTCCCCTCCCCCCCTCCCACTCCCCTGCCCCTCCCCCTCCTCCCACTCCCCTTCCCCCCCCCCTCCTCCCACTCCCCTTCGCCTAGGCTTGAGCATGAACCCGACCCGACCCGACCCGACCCGACTTTGCCCTACCCGATGTCGGGTTCGGGTCGGGTCGGGTCGGGTCGGAGTTCAGGAAATGTCAACCCGACCCGTGTTTAATAGGTCGGGTTCTACCTAACCTGATTTCGGGTCGGGTCGGGTCGGGTTGGCATAGGGGCAGGGACGGGTAATAAGCCGACCCGACGGGTCGGGTTTTGTCGGTCGGGTCGGGTCGGGTCGGGTCAGGTACCCGAGGGTCGGGTCAACCTTCCGCAAATGTCGACCCGACCCGTCAAAAAGTCGGGTTCGGGTTGGGTTACCCGACCCGACCCGACCCATTGCTCAAACCTACCTTCCCCTCCCCCTCCTCCCACTCCCTTTCCCCTCCCCCTCCTCCCACTCCCCTTCCCCTCCCCCTCCTCCTACTCCCCTTCCCTCCCCCTCCTCCCACTCCCCTTCCCCTCCCCCTCCTCCCACTCCCCTTCCCCTCCCCCTCCTCCCACTCCCCTTTCCCTCCCCCTCCTCCCACTCCCTTTCCCCTCCCCCTCCTCCCACTCCCCTTCCCCTCCCCCTCCTCCTACTCCCCTTCCCCTCCCCTCCTCCCACTCCCCTTCCCCTCCCCCTCCTCCCACTCCCCTTCCCCTCCCCCTCCTCCCACTCCCCTTTCCCTCCCCCTCCTCCCACTCCCCCGTCCCTGCCCCCAGGCCTTCCCAGGAGAGGCCCTGTTCCTGGAGTAGGGCAAGGAGCTGGCGAGCCAGGCAAAGCTACCCAGCATGCTGAGCAGAGAGACTCTTAATTTGAACCAAACGCCACCCTTCCTCCCTGCATTCCCCCCGTCCCTGCCCCCAGGCCTTCCCAGGAGAGGCCCTATTCCTGGAGCAGGGCAAGGAGCTGGCGAGCCAGGGCCAGGCGAAGCTGACCAGCATGCTCAGCGGCGACCCCGCCGCCGCCAAGGAGAAAGAAAAGGCGTTTGTATCCGTTGAGTTCACGCGGCTGCTGCAGCACCCGTCCATCGTGTACTACAAGCACTTCCTCTTCCAGCTGCAGGAGTTCGACCTGCACTTAGAGGAGGACTTTGTGGATACGGTGGTGGCGTACCTGCAGCAACTGCCCCTGGAGGACCTGTGGCAGGAGAAGGAGAAGGGGGGCGGGGAGGAGGAGAAGCAGTCGGAGGAGGAGGACGCGCTGGAGGACATGAGCGGGGCTCCCATCGCCAAGTCCTTCCTGGTCAGATGGGTTCTCCTTCCCTTGTGTGATTCTCTCACAAGACTCTGCGTTGCTTATGTAACGGTCTGCTTCCTGTTGACCTAACTTTCTTGAATTCCTCTTCCACCTCTTGCCCACTCCTCTCTCCCCCCCACTCTCTCCAGGCACGCGACACCACCGTGGTTTCATACACTTCCCGCCGGCACTTAGTTAAGCCCGAGCAGATGCTGAGCCCCTTGGTCAACCGCAGCAGCTGGGTGGCGGGCAACCAGGGCCTGCGATGGTACTTTGAGCGCTTCCAGGTGCAGCCGATGCGCATCAACGTCACGCTCGTCATGAACCCTGTCAAGGGCGACGCGCCGCCCCTCTCAGCCGGCAGCTCCGAGTGGCACGTCAGGACTGTCGCGTCCTCGGCGGGTTTCCCCCTGGTGTCGCTCACACGAGCACCTCTGAGACTCAACAGGTGAGGGAATCTCTTTGGTACCTCAAGAATTGCGCCCCCTGAGGAGTGACACCTCACAAGGACTGTGGCCTCCTCAGCGGGTGTCCCGCTGATGTTGCTCTCACGCTCTCCCCTGTCACGCAGCGGGTGGGTGAGAGAGAATGAGCGTGCACAGGTGCACCCCTCAACCACCCTCTCAATCCATCCTTCCTCCTGCAGCACCCACCTCCTCCATGCTCGCCTGGTGCTGAACACCACACTTCAGAACCAGAGCATTCTGCTGACCCATGTGCTGTGGCATTACCTCATGCATCACTCCCTTCGAAACCGTTCTTCCGCCTCCCCTCCTCCCTCCCCTCCTCCCTCTCCTCCTCCCTCTCCTCCTCCCTCTCCTCCTCCCTCTCCTCCTCCCTCTCCTCTTCCCTCTCCTCCTCCCTCCCCTCCTCTCTCTCCTCCTCCCTCTCCTCCTCCCTCTTCTCCTCCCTCCCCTCCTCTGTGAGAAAACGGGAACTTAGAAAGTTGATAAGAAGGGAATGCACAAGGGTTTACATAGGAATGTGAGGAAGGGAGGAAGGGAGGGTTGGTTGGGAGTTGGCCAAGATTTTTGGCGCCCACCAATAATTCTGGTTGGGATTATTGGTGGTCCAATAATTCTGGTGGGATTTATTGGGGGTCTCAAATAGTTGTGGACCCAACCAAATTGGGAATCCAACCAAGTTGGGAACCCAACCTCCAATTTGGGTTATTACACCCTAATTGTAGTGGAATGCTTAGCTCTACTCGAGACTAACAAATCTATGTAGACTAGTGAATATAGTAGGATATTCTAACATCCTCCCCCCCTTCCTCCCTTCCCTCCTCCCTCCTCCCCTCCCACCCCTCCGCCCTCTATGTCAGTCTGGTGCTGGACAACGCGTTTCAGAACCAGAACACGCTGCTGACGTACGTGCTGCGGCACTACGTGGTGCAGCTGCTGCAGGGGTTGCACAAGATCCTCGGCTCCGTGGAGCTGCTCGGTGCTCCGGTATGCACATGCCTCCATGCTCGTGCATTCGTCACTGCTTTCTCACCCTTCCTTTCGCTCCCCCCTTGCTCATTCGAATGCCATTTCCTTCTCCCCAGTGCCAAATTCGCTCCTCAAATGCCACTTTCCCTTGTCCCAAATCCGACCTTCCCCAGCTGTCCCTGGTGGACAACCTCGCCACGGGGGTCATGGACTTCTTTGTGGAGCCCGCCTCTGCCACCACGTGAGTGTCGAGCGCCAGTGCTGTTGTTTTAGACGTGGAAAAAAGAGTGGAGGGTTGCCACCGCATGAGTGGACGCTCTCCTTTGCACCCATTGCTGTCCACTCTTCCCTTCTTCCCCTCTTCCCTTCCCCTCTCCCCCCACTCCCCTCAGGCCCGAGGAGTTTTTCAGTGGGGCGATGAAGGGTACAGTGAGTCTGGTGAAGCACTCGTCGTACGGCGTGCTGCACTCCATCAGCTCCCTCGCAGGCGGCATTGGCATTGGGTTCGCCAAGCTCACATTCGACGACTCTTTTATCCAGAGGTTGGTGGCATTGAGATTCCATTGGCTGCTTCTACGGCTGTCTTCCCCATCATCCAGAGGCATTTCGCTCGCTGGTGGCATCGAGGAACGTTGGCTCCTTCTAAGGCGTGCTGCACTCCATCAGCTCCCTCGCTGGGGGCACTCAGAGGTACGGTGGAGTGCGCGATTACCACAAATTAGAGCACTGGTGCTCGCCTTACGGCTAAGAGGTTCATCCTGCATTCCTTCCTGGTGAGGCTGCCTATTTTCGTGCATGTAGTTGAAGGGTTCTCTGCGTGCATGCCACACGTGCTCATGCACAAACTCGCACACACGGCCACACCTCTCTGGTTTCCGCTCTTGTCTCCTACACTGCCGCCCAATCCTTGTCATTGTCCCTCCGCTACTAAGCACAATCCCTTCCTTCAACCACCCCTCCCCCCACTCCCTCCTTTCCCCATCCCCCCCATAAATCCCCACCAGGTACAGCCAGCGCCCCGAAGGAGCTTCGCAGCAAGTGCTGCGAGGAGCGCAGGACCTGGGGCTCGGCTTCGTGGGGGCGGTGACAGGGCTGGTGCTGCAGCCGCTGGAGGGCGGGCGCAGGGAGGGGGCGGTGGGGGCAATGAAGGGCGTGGGGATAGGCGTGGTGGGGCTGGTGACCAAGCCGCTGTCGGGGCTGCTGGGGTTCGCCTCCACTGTGACCGAGAGTGCCGGCACGGGGATTCGGGCCATGGGGGGGGATGTGACGAGGCGGAGCGTGCCGCGGATCCGACTGCCGAGCACCTTCGGGAGGAATGATGCCATTGCGGTGAGATGTCATGTGGCCTCGTTCGAACCCTAGTTCCTGCTTTAGTTCCAGCCTTGGTTTGGTTCCTGCCACCCTTACTCAAGCATGTGTGTGTGCACACACGGGTCTAAGATGGATGTGTAATTGGATCACGACGGGGAAAACGGGGGAGGAGGAACGGGAAAGCAAGTGGGGTGATGTGCCAAGAAAGCCCAAGGGGGTTGCTGAGAAAGCGTGCGAGAGGGTCCGAGGGCAAAGCCTGAGAGGGGTGCGCAGGGGTTCCTCGCGACGGGTGGAAGAGGAAAGGCTGAGAGGGGCGCACCGGGAAAGCCTGGTGAGGGGTCCTGGGTTCCTGGGGCTGCGTGAAGAGCTTTTATTCCTTACTAGTTTTTCACACCCATTGTCCTAGTGGGCAACAAAAACCCTTGGAAATGAGAGGTCCTAGGTTCCAGCCTGCCAGCCCGCCAGCCCGCCAGGTTGCAGCATGGTTACGACGGTTTACTCAGGGCTGAGGGGGCTAACAAACAGTTCTACAGGTATGTGTGTTGAATCTTTGTCCTCCTCCTCTGTCGCCTCTTCCTCCCCACTATGACCCTTACCACTGTCTCAAAACATTAACAACACTCACAAATGAACTACCACGGTGCACCAACCCAAAAACGCACCTTTGGACCGTTTTGAACGGCCGAATAAAACGATTCCGTATTTTACGGCAAAAAAAAAAAAAAAAAAAAAAAACGACCATTTTTTGCACCTTGCACCCCGCCCACCCGTCCACCACCGACTGTCTTCCCAACCCTCCTTAACCACTTCGCCGCATCTTCCCGCTTTCCTCCTGCACCTCGTCCTCACCCCTTTCTCTCCTGGCAGCTGGAGCCGGAGGACAGTGTGGAGCTGAAGCTGGTGCTGGCCATCCTGGACTTTGGGCGCTACCGCAGCGAGCAGCTGCTGGACCACCTGCAGACGTCGGCGCGCAAGGCAGTGCTGTTCACCGTGGTGCGCCTGCTGTTTTACGACTGCCAGAGGAACGTCTTCTTCTGGCAGATACCACTCAAAGGTAGCTATGATTGACATGTGTGATTTGCTGCATACACCTGTAGCAGAGTGGTTGTACCATGGTTCTAGGCTTCAGAGCACTCCTCGCGTGGAACTCCGCCACGATGTACAGTTTAGCAGTATCCTACCTTCCCACTTCCCCTACTTTCCCGTCCTATCTAGGTTTGCTTTTCTCAACCTTGTTAGTGATGTAAATCCCTGACCACCACCCTCCTACCTCTCCCTCTCCTGCCTCTCTCCCCCTTCCGCCATGCGTGCAGACATAACCTCAGTGATGGGCATGGAGGGGCGGCTGGAGAGCATCATTCTGTACGATGCCGATCTCAAGTTCGCGGGGAAGAAGCTACCCCTGCGCTTGCCGTCGCGCAAGGTCATCAAGACCACCACCCGCGAGCTCCACATGGCGCTCTTAGTTAAGCTCAACCGCCACTTAGCCCGCGTCCGTGCATTGAACCCCTCCACCGCCTCCTCCTCTCGCCGCACGTCCCGTGACTCGTCTGCTGCAGCCGCTGCTGATGCCCTGTCCAACTCCTCTCCTCCCTCGTCTGCCGCCCCCTCTCCTGTTCTCTCTCCTCCCGCTTCCCCTGGTGGTCTGACTCAAGTTCGTCGGAGTGCGTCCGAGTCTGGTGCTGCCGGCAGCAAGGCAGCGGCAAAGGGCGGTAAGGCCGCTGGTGCTGGCAGCGGTAGCGGCGGCGGCGGTGGTGGTGGTGGGGGGGGCAGTGGTGGGAGAGCCGGCCCCAGGAGACAGTTTTCCCCTACAAAGAAGTTGACTGCCCATAGAGAGGAGGGCGAGGACGAGGAGGCGAATTCTGGACCTTCTGTGTTGCCCCCATGCAGCTGGTAGTTCGGCTGGAGCTGCAGCCGCCACGGCAGCGGCAAGGTTGCAGCAGCAAGTCAACGCCAGAGCTCCTGCTGCCAGTTTTGGTGTGGCTGCTGGAGGTTCGGCTAGCACTGACGTGATTGGAGAGCAACGCCGGCTGACAAGGCAAAACCCGTGCCCTGGCTCACACCAACTCAGCCCCAGTCATCTCGAGAAAAAGCAGCTTCCGCCGCGGTAAGCAGAACAGGATAACCAGAGGTGGAAGCAGGGCGTGATATGGGAAGATCAGGATGTAGAGGGTGCGCATGTTGACAATGAGGAGAGTGATGAGGATGATTATAGCGAGGATGCCAGTGGTGTGGCTGCAAGGGTGGCTCAGCTAGATAGGGAGCAACGGCAGGAGATACGGCGGGACTTGGATGCGATACTGACAACATGCCAAGTGGCAGCCGCAAGTGCTGGTGGGAGAGCCGACCCCGCTGCAGCTCTGGTTTCGGTTAGGTTCCTTGCACTTGCATCGTATTCACGCACACTGGCACAGAGAGCTGACAACGCTACACTAGGAGCTGAAGCATCGCAAGGAGGGAAGAGGGTTGATGCACAATGGGCAGAGGACGTGTCGGCATTGCTTCGCACGATGGTGGCTTTGGCTGAAGGTGGCCGGACTGGTTCACTGAGGGACCAGTCTCAGATTTTAGGCACTCTGGAGGCAATCTGCCATCAAGCCATTGGTCGGGTCTCTGGCCATTGATGTACCGCGGTTCCGTCGCTTCATTAGGCGCTTCAGCTGATGTTTTAGATTTTGCTGGTTGCGTGCTTGGATAGGCCATGATTTTTTTTCTGTATGTGTAAGATGAGGTTTCTGTAATTAGGATAGTAGTAGGCTTTCTAGGTAGGCTAATATTCATCTAAATTGTTATGTGCTGTATTACGAAATTAAGTTTACACGTGGAACACGTAAGCCTCGATGTCATCTAACCTCGATATCGCCGCGCGGCTCCTTTTCCCGCCTTCCCTTCCCCACCCCATCCCACCACACGGACCCTCTGAAGGAGTTCCAGGGACAAGCAGCTCACAAACTTGAGCCAGTATGAATGGTGGTGGTCTGGTTCTTGGTGTTGCCGTAGAATCCAGGCCAGCATACGAGGCCGCTTGTGCACTTGCTTGTACCCGGTCCTAGGTAGCTCCTGCTGCTTTCCCGCGTGAGATCAAGCACTTCGAGCTTATCGCGTCGATCCTACCACCACCATCTGTAGCAAAGCAGAATCACCACTCGTAGCGTGTGGTCTTCTCGCCCTATTCTTGTCACGTGTTCCGTTCTCCTTGTTCTCGCTAGAGTGTAACCCGTTTCTTCTCCAAGGCTTCATTGTTGTTGCTCCTCGCGGCGCCATGACCGCGTGTGCCTGCCTCTCGCGAGCAGCTTTCCGCGGAACGACGCCTCCTCCGTCGATCGCTTGTTGCCATAAGCAACGGCCGCAGCGATCGCACTCGCTTCGGGAAAATGCCGAGCAAACGTTGATTGCTGCGACGTGCCTTGAACGGGGTAGCGTTCGATATAAGAACGTTGGAGTAGTGGGGTCGTCGAGACGGCCGTCTTGCGGTGCAGTGCGGTGCTCCGCTGCGTCAGCAGATGATCCAAGGGCCACGGCTCGATCTCAAGGTGCCGTGTCATCTCAGCCGTCCGTCGCGACCGTATCTGGCGAAAATGGGTCTATCAAGGTAAGCAGGTCTTCTCGCTCGCTGCACTTTAAGCTGCTCCCTGGCTTGCTTTTGAGTCGACTCAAAAGTCTCCCTGGCTTAATGTCCATCCCATCCCCTCGAGTTCAGCGGCCATTCCCCCTCCACGTTCCATGCGCTTTACCCTAACCCACGTCACACCTTATCCGACCATTCCCCTCTCCTCACCCTGCCTGCAACCCCACCATGCGACCCCACCGTGCGAACCCACCATGCGACCCCACCATGCAACCCCACCGTGCAACCCCACCATGCGAACCCACCATGCTACCCCACCATACGACCCCACCATGCGAACCCCACCATGTGACTCCACCATGCGACCCCACCATGCAACCCCACCATGTGACCCCACCATGCGACCCTACCATGCAACCCCACCATGCGACCCCACCATGCAACCCCACCATGCAACCCCACCATGCAACCCTACCATGCGACCCCACCATGCGACCCCCACCATGCAACCCCCCATGCAACCCCACCATGCGACCCCACCGTGCAACCCCACCATGCGACCCTACCATGCGACCCCACCATGCGACCCCACCATGCGACCCACCATGCGACACCCACCACCATGCGACCCCACCATGCGACCCACCATGCGACCCCACCATGCGACCCCACCATGCGACCCCACCATGCGACCCCACCATGCGACCCTACCATGCGACCCCACCATGCGACCCTACCATGCGACCCCACCATGCCGACCCCACCATGCGACCCCACCATGCAACCCCACCATGCAACCCCACCATGCGACCCCACCGTGCAACCCCACCATGCGACCCCACCATGCGACCCCACCATGCGACCCTACCATGCGACCCCACCATGCGACCCCACCATGCGACCCACCATGCGACCCCACCATGCGACCCCACCATGCGACCCCACCATGCGACCCCACCATGCGACCCCACCATGCGACCCCACCGTGCGACCCCACCGTGCAACCCCACCATGCGACCCCACCATGCGACCCCACCATGCGACCCCACCATGCACCGCACAGAGCGCGAGCCAAGCTGGCGGGCAGCGGCAAGCGCAGGAGCCGCCTGAGGACGACGTGCTGATCGAGCTCAAGGACGTGTACAAGTCGTTCGGCAGCAAGCACATCCTCAGAGGGGCGTCACTCAAGGTACGCTCTTCCCCTGCTGGCTCCCTTGCGCCCGACTTATACCATTACGGTGCGCATTCCTTGTGCAACCGGACCCATGACGTGCTGATCGAGCCCAATGATGTGTGCAAGTCGTTCGGCAGCAAACACATCCTCAGAGGCGCGTCGCTTAAGGTACGGCCTCCCCTTCTGTCTGCCCCTCTCTAAGTGTCTGTGCGTGTGTCTGCGTGTCTGTGCGTGTCTGTGCGTGTCTGTGCGTGTCTGTGCGTGTCTGTGCGTGTCTGTGCGTGTCTGTACCTTTCCGCATATCTGTAGCGCCCTCTCTGTCTGTCAGCGTCTGAGCCTGCTGCTGGTGCTGCTCCCTGACACCCTACCTCTACCACTACTGTGCTTATTCCTTGTGCCACCACACCACCTCCTGCATTTTCCCACCCTTCCTTCCTCCTACCCTCTCCGCCCAACCACCTCCCTTGATGCGCCACTTCAAACGGTCAGATTCGGAGAGGCGAGGCGGTGGGTGTCATAGGCCCGTCCGGCACGGGCAAGTCAACAATCCTAAAGATCATGGCGGGGCTGCTGGCTCCTGATAAGGTACGGGGGAGGGGGGTCTCCTCTCATGCATGCATGCACATACAGCTGTGGCCTTCGAAGGCCTGTCTGGCACCTCATAAGGTCATGGTAGGGGATGCTTGTCGGGCCTTTCGGTATGCATAGTTATGCATAGTTATGCATGGTTGCTGACACATGTCCATGCACATACGCATTTAGCAAGCACGTGCACATGTGATGTATGCATACCATAGAATAACGTCCATCATATGTGCAACCATCCATCATACTGGAAGCGTGCATCCACACACTCTACTGCTTCGCCTTGCCACCTGCCCTATCACCCCGCTTCGCCCTGCCAGGGCGAGGTGTGGATATGCTCATGCGCCTTTTGTGCCTTTCATGCTCACACCTTGCCTCCGTGCCTTTCGATCCCAGGGCGAGGTGTGGATATGCGGCAAGAAGCGGGAGGGGCTGATCAGCGACCAGGAGAACGTGGGCCTGCGGATCGGCCTGGTGAGGCGAGGCGACCAGGGGACGAGGTCTTGTGAAGAGCGATGGCGCTTGTGGAATCTGGGCCTCCTCCTTCTGTCTTGTATCCCTTCAAGCTACTGCTGCATTGGACTGCATTGGCTTTTATTTGTCTCTCTTGCATCTCTTGTCTCCTTAGCGTCCTCATGCTTCTGCACTTTCTCTCACCATCCCGTTCTTGCCACCGCACCATCTCGGGGGTTTTGTCTCCATCCACCAGGTCTTCCAGAGCGCAGCGCTATTCGATTCGTTGACTGTGCGCGAGAACGTGGGCTTTATGCTGTGAGTTCACTGCTCTATGGGACCAATCAATGCTCTTCGCATGATTGCCCATGACTGCTCTCTACGCACCCTGCCGACTGCTTATTCCTGCTGCGCACATATCTGAAGTACCACTTTCTTAGCTTCCCTGGGCTCCGTTCTTTCCTTCCTGAAATCGCCTCGTTCTGTTTGTGTCACGTCAGGTACGAGCACTCTCGGTTGTCAGAGGACGAGATTCGCCTGCGAGTAAAGGACAGCCTCAAAGCAGTGGGCCTCAAGGTGAGTCTTGAGGCTAAAGCTGTTAAGCTCAAGATGGGTCTTAGGGTCAAAGCAGTGGGCCTCAAGGCGAGTCTTGAGACTTTATCGGGTGGGCTCACAGCCGGCTATAGTCTCTCTCAGCGTGAGCAGCAGTTCAACCTCACACTTGTTAATCCTTCACCATCCCATCCCCCCGTCCCATGTATTCTTCCTTCCTGCTCAGAGCGTCGAGGAGCGCTTTCCCTCGGAAGGAAGCGCTTTCCCTAGGAGCTGTGTTGGAATGTGGAGGAGCGTTTCCCCTCGGAGCTGTCAGGAGGCATGAAGAAGCGGGTGGCCCTCGCGCGGGCCATAGTGTCGGACAGCGATGCGCCGCAGTTGGAGGAGGAGGTGGTGATGTACGACGAGCCCACCACTGGGCTGGACCTCGTTGCCATCGTCCCAACACACACCACAAACCCCCCCCCCCCCCCCACCCCCTTCCCCCTCCCCCTCCCCCTCCCCCTCCCCCTCCCCCTCCCCCTCCCCCTCCCCCACCCCATCCCATCAGAATGTGGAGGAGCGTTTCCCCTCGGAGCTGTCAGGAGGCATGAAGAAGCGAGTAGCCCTGGCCCGAGCCATAGTGTCTGACAGCAACGCCCCACAGCTGGAGGAGGAGGTGGTGATGTACGACGAGCCCACCGCTGGGCTGGACCCGATCGCCTCCACTGTGGTGGAAGATTTGATTCGCTCCCTGCACGTGGGGTCATCCGTGCCCGTGCCGGTGACTGCTGAGATTGCTGCTGGGTTGGAGTCGGACTTTGAAACGGAGTCGGAAGATGAGGATGGGGGGGAAGGGAGAACGGCTAGTGGGACTGTTAGCGGTAGCAGCGGCAGTGGCAGGGGGGATGAGTGTCGTTCCAAGTCTCGCAAAATGGCGTCGGTGTCGTCGTACATTGTTGTGACACATCAGCACAGCACGATCCGACGAGCCGTTGACAGGTCAGCATGCTGGCTAGATCTGCTCCCTCCTCCCCTTTTCCACCACGCTTTTCTCCCTTCACTTTGGCTTCCCCCGCCGTGTTCCTTGTGCAGTTTGAGTCTGCTTACATGTTGAGTGATTGTATGTGTTCCTTCTGCAGGCTGCTGTTCCTGTATGGAGGGGAGGTTGTATGGGAGGGACCCACAGAGGAGTTTGACACCACGGACAACCCCATAGTGAGACAGGTGAGACCGATACTGTGCATGGCAGCCAACTCAATGCAAGCCAATTCGGTCCTCTTTCAGCTTCAGCATCAGCGATGCTGTCTGAATGCTTGGCTTGTATGCATGACCATTGACCACCAGTTCTGTTTCCTTTATTGCTCCCACATCCCCCTGCAGTTTGCGGTGGGCAGTTTGGATGGACCCATCCGGTACTAGTGTGAGTGAGCCATTGCAGAGTAGGAGGGATACCCCGCATAGTCTACACCATTACACATGCAGGAGCAATAGAAGGACACGATGGGTCATGCTTATGATGTTGCTACTTTCCACGTTATTTGTAACCTCTCGAGTAAGAAAAACGCCTACGGTGTCCGTGAAGTAAGCTGACGTTAGGTGGGAGGGAAAACGAGCACGTTTTCGGCAAGATTGTTGCTTCAACGACTAATGTACACTGCAATGCAAGCAAGCAGCCTATTCATCCAGACTAACTAACGCTATTAGTCCATGCCTTTACACACTATATATTCTAAGAGGTCAAACCCTCGAGTCCACGCATCCTCAACAACCCCCCTCCACCTAACCCCCATCGCCTTCCCCATCGTTTTCAAGAAAGCCGTTCTGAAAGTCGGTGTATCGTCAGCAGCTACACCGTAATTCAAATGTCTACACCCCAACGACATAAATTGCGGCGTGACTTTTTTCTCAACGGCCTCCGCGTCGTCCATCTGCGTGATCGCTTCGCACATGAGGCCGAACGCGTGCGTCGCGTGCTCCTGCAGCCGCGCGTTCAGCGGCGCGGGCTCCGCCGAGTTGCGCACGTACGAAAAGAGGTTGCGCCCGTCCGGGGAAATGTCGAAAACACTGGTGAGCGGAGGGGGAGGAGGCGAGCGAGAAAAACGTGAGTGAGCGAGAGAGAGACGTCCGGGTCCGGGTGAAGGGTGCATTTGGGGAAGGGCAACGTCTGAAGCCGACGGGCTCGAAGCCGACGAGCTCGAAGCCGACGGGCTCGAAGTGCGCGAAGACGCAGCGGCACTGACGCAGGGGCAGAGACGGGTCGTGGACGAGGGGAGAGGGAAAAGAGCGAGCGATTGGGCTTGGGGGAGAGTTGCTCACATGAGGAAGAGGATGATGGCGTGCTGGTCCACGTTCGGCTGCACGAACTCCGCGAATGTCTCCCGGACGATCCGCCCTTGCTCCGGTGTCAGCAATGGCGGCCTCTCGTCCGCTGAACTGCTGCTTATCGGCGGCCCCGATATAGACGGATCCGCTAACGATGCTCGCATTACGAAGTCCATTTTGAATCGCAAGAAGGAACGCCGCTCGCGAGGAAGTGGAACTAATGCGTGGCTCAAGAATGGAGTCTACCTTGCGAGGACGTTGTCCGAGGCTGCTCAAGCTAAGTGCGTCAGTTAGTACAAGGTACGAAGTGTCACACAACAGCAACTACTCGCTATCCAGCTATGTATGAAATGACAGCCATGGTGAGGTGAGGGAAACTATATGTACCTGTATGATCAGTCCATAGCAGACGAGCTCACAACACAGCTCACCAACCAACTCTTGCTTGGCCCTTCGGCTGCGCTTCGCGTTTGAATGTCTGCACGACCCGCGACTCGGCAAACAGCCAAGGGCACGAATGGCACGGTACTGTAGCAGGGTGCACATCCCCAATTCTTCGACATCGGGATGTTTTCGTCTGGAGTTCGGATTGTGGGGGAGTTGTGGTGGATAGGATCTGGCCGGACACTTTCCGGATGAAATTCTAAAACATCCGTACAGGATTCAAATCTGGATTCAAACCTGAAATTCTAAAACACCCGTGACTGAAATTCTTCGCGGACAGCTGACGATACAAGTGTCAGGGCACATTCGTAGGAGCCTTCGTTTTGCGGAGATTCGTGATGGAGGCAAATTTTCCTACGGACGCTGGTATGTGACACAAATTTGAGTGAGACAAAGCTCGCAACCTAAGGGCGTGTCGCCAAAAATCGTTTTGGTCAAATACCATACTAAACCTCTCTAGAAACTTATTTTACCGTTTTAGGACGCAAAAACATCCTTGCGAACCGCAATCGGACTTACTTTAGTGACACGCCCTAAGACATGTGACTATGTTCTCTGCCTATTTTCCACCTGCCATTCCGAACGGATGTATTTCTCCGGATTCCCCAAATGGAAAATCCAGATGCATCCGGGTCCCTAAAAACGGGTTATTGTTATTCCAGAGCGAGTGTCAGACCCGAGGTCGACCCGCGGCCGAAGGAGCCGCGGGCTGCCACAACCTAACTGCAAGTTTTATATTCTTGACGGTGTAGCGGCTACACCATCGCGAGTTGTCGCAAGGGGAGGGTTGCGACTATACTGGCCGAACTTTGCGAGTCCACCAGAAATATGCGAATTTATTATTGGCGGAAGTATATTTGCACGACACTGATGGTTATACGGTTTGACAGCTGACTGGCTGGAGCCGTCAGTTTTTCGCAAGACCCGAGGCATTTTTTTTCCAGCCTCGGATCTCAGAGCATAGCCCGAGGGTCTTACACTCGCTCCAGAATCCACCCCTGAACCTGGCCCTCCTGACCAAAACTGGCTGAAATGGTACACTACGGAAAAGCCCTCGGGTCGGAACTTGGTGGGATGACGCTGGGGTGATGCGGATTGCGGGGGATTGCGGTGGCGGGCAGTTGCACATGCTGCGCTGTGATGCCAGCGCTGCGAAAACGAGGGGATCAGCGGCGAAATGCAACGGGTTACGACGGGACAGCGCAGAAATGACGCACGCGCAGAAGAATCTTGCCCCCCGCTTTGGATGACCTTTCACTGCGAGAAGCGGCACCGGCTTCTCGGCGATTCCAAGGTCCCTCCCAACCACGTTACATTTTGTGCGTCTCGTATGTGATGCGTGTAATAAGAGTGTAAGAACACGTTTTGTTTTTTAGCGAGGCATCCTTTCGGAGTATATCTGTGTTACTGCTGCGCGAACGTGATGAGACACACACACGTTCCCTGGCAACAGTCTTGCAAGCATCGCATCGCAACGGCAAATTTGAGCCACCTCTGAGCTCCAACTTACAGTACCTCGTTGACTTCGCCTAGACGTAACACCTAGTCGTGGATGTTCGTCTCTGTCAACCAGTAGCAGCGCTTCGCGGGCTTCACCTGATTCTTCCCTGGAGACAAGGTCAGGCTGTCTCCACAAAATGGCGGCCATGTCTTCGCTGCAGGCTACTTGCGAACTCTGTTGCCTCACACACGGGGAGTGAGGAGGGCATGAACTAGATACTGTACTTCTCGATCCACTTACCATTGCATTGAGGCCTCGTTCTTATAGAAGATTTTCTGGTTCCTTGGTCGCAGCATAGGAATGGATTTCCTTTTCAGACATTTACGGTGTTAGTGCTGTCGTCAGGTACTGTCCATTCTTGGCAAGTCGCGACAGATCGTTTGACCGAACCACCGTAACCCGTACCATACCTTTATAAGTGTACGGATCGGCAATCTTAAGAATTGCGTATATTGAGGGGATCGGCTCCATGTCGTCAGGACATAGAAATGGGGATTTACACATTGGCACCAGTCGAGACAACACACATGTTTTTTCAAGCGGAGCTCATTTCTCGCCCTCCTACTCGCAAGCAACCGGCAGGATGGGAAGCGGAGGGACTCTGGCGGCGAGTCACAAGAAGCAGAGCGAGGCGACGAACCAGAAGCACAAGCACAGGCCGAAGCAACGGCCGTCCTTCTCCCGCCGACCGCCGCTCATGCTTCCGAAAACATGGCGGATGCTACGGTTCTTAGTCTTCGCCTTTGTCATCGCGTTAGCTCTGTCGTCGTTCTTGCTGTCAGGGATCGCTCCCTTTCTGGGTAACCCTAAAGCGATCTGGGCGTTTCTAACCACCCGACGAGTACGTAGAATAGCATTCGGGTCGGGAACAACTCCGGAGAACACGTCACAGCCAGTCTGGACGCGAGGCGTTATTCCGTCGTCGCCTGACGTGTGGATATGGTGAGCCACGTCACGCCCGTGGGATTGACTCTTCATGTAACCCTAACTTCAGTCACGCGAGCGTCGCTTAGAAACCTAAATTTCCAGTTCCGATCGTCTGCTCGGAAACCCTAATTTTCATAGCTTATGACTTCGGCTTCTCTCTGTCCTACGTGGCGTCTGATCAGGCTTGGTGACATGGCGTATCTTGACGAGCCCGAGGTGAACTGTACACGGTGGCCGTTACATCCGCAATGTAATTGTACCAGCGACTGGTTTCAACAACAGGGAATGTCATGTGTCAGAGGTGAGCAGCTGAACTGTACCTAGAACGAGTCTGTTATACCGAAACTTCAAGTCCCTACATTGTAGTGAAATGTTTTTATTTTCGTGTGTTTCATCAGAATTGCTATCACCGAGTTCAGAGCTTAAGCGCCGCGTTCTGATGTTTATCCGCACTCCACATAGTCATGTCTCCATTACCTCGTCGTTCTCCCCCCTCCCCCCCCCCCACCTCCCCCTTCCCCCAGGAAACAGCAAGTACGCCATCACTAGAATGCAGCAACAATTACAGAACCCAGATTATGTGAAAGTATGGCCACCTGCCCGCATCCCTATGCTCCCTATTGTTTCCCACATCAGCACCCTGCTCCGCCCATGCTGTCTGCTCTGCTCCGCACTGCGTCTTTCAGCCTAAACCCCTCTTTGCCTGTTACCTGAATAGCAGCAATCCAGTGATGGGCTGTCCTCAGCAAGTGCACATGCCCTGCCGGTGTGTCTGGCGTTGGGGTGGAGGGGGTGGACTGGGTGAGGGGTGGGTGTGTGGTGTGCCTTGGAGTGTGGGGTGCTTTGGATGTATGGGGGGGAGGTGGGCTGGATTGGGTGGGTGTGCATTGCGTGAGCGTTTTGCAGTTTCTGCAGTTCATGTGTCCGCGCTACAAGCCAAGCAACACCACCCCGATACCTGACGGGTCTGACCCGTCCTCATGCCCTCGCCACATCCTGGGGGTCTATGATGACAGAGACTTTGGCTGGTGCGTTGCTTCACGCTCCCTCGTGATCATGCCTCCAGGCTACACCAGTCACACTGCTCATTTCCAGTGCCCCATTATGTGTGCGTGTTCTCATAGTGTTCGAGGAAACTCTTGAGACTAAACCAGCCTCCTTGTCTGCAAACCGTGTGTCTATCTGCATGATCCCTGCACGCTCCCTGCTCGCTCCCTGCACGCCACCTGCACGCTGTGTGCGCAGGGCGCACGGGTACAAGCGGCTGATGCACAAGGACCCGCTCAAGTCCGTCTTCCTCGACGCCCTGGGCGCGCCCAAGGAGGACCCCCGGCGCGACAGAGGCGACGGCATCCAGGCCGTGGTAAGGGGCGCAGGCTGGCGGGTGCTGGACCTTAGGGTTGTGTCAGTGGGTGGGACTATTGCATCACGGTCTGTGCGTGTTGCCTCTGCTGTCTGCTATGTGTCGCCATTCCTTTCCCCTTCTCCTTCTGTGTAATACCCTACCCTTGTTCATCCCCCCCCCCCCCCCCCGCCCCCCCCCCCGTCGCCAGTACCACCTGAACGAGGCGCTGCCAGGTCAGCAGATAGACGTGTTCCTTTTGGACGAGCGGTACTACCGGGAGAACCTGCCGTGCCACATCCGCAGAGACTTCTGCACGTCAGTGATGGACCTGGACAGACCGCACAGCTGGCGCTCGTGGTGAGAGGACTGAAGAGACGGGCTGGGCAGAGGGGGGAGGGCGAGTTGCAGGTAGGGCTGGGCTGGTTGAGGTGGGGCTGGAGGAGGGCGAGGGTAGTGAGAGAATTGGGTGTGGCAGGAGAGGCTGGTTGGTGTTGAATGGGGGTGGAGGACGGAGGGGGTTTTGCTCCTCCGTGATGGTTCTGGATAGACCGCACAACTGGCAGGCATGGTGAGAGTGGGGGGGGGGGGGGGAGAGGGTAGGAGAGATGGGAGTATGGTGGTATTGTTGAATAGAGGGGGAAGAGAGTTCTGCTCCCGAGCATCCTTTACACACATTCGCGGGCATGTGTGCTTTAAAGGCGTCGTTTTGCTCCATACCTGCCATGCAGGTGCGGTGACTTTCTCGGGCGAGAGGTGGCTCGGAATCGGTGGTCCTGCTGCGACAAGGACGAGAAGCTGTTCCAAGGTGAGATACTAACGAGGATGAAAAAAGAAGTGCATCCTAGGAAGAGTGCGTGTTGGACTGCAAGGCAAGGCACGCGGCGAATCTAGGGACGCCAAGAGCAACTCCAACCTCCGTGGCTCCTCCCTTTTCCTCCCTTCCCCTCGCTTTCTTGTGCCTTGCCCCACCTCACCCCCCTCTGGCACAGAGCAGCGTGGTGCGGGCACGAGGCGCACCGCAACCACTCTCTATGGGAAGAGGCGTGCAACCCGGCGCAGGAGGCGTTTGGGTCGCAGAAGATCAGCGTGCGCAAGAAGGGCAAGGACGTGGCACTGTGGGACGTGTACATTGAGGAGCAGCCCGAGCCCCACAACTCGCAGTACTGCGAAGTGCTGGGCCGCCAGCAGCGCCTGTGGCTGCAGGAGGAGCTGCAGGACTCGGTTGCCCCCATCAAGATCATTGTGTCGCCCTCGCCTGTGTTCACGAATCCTCTGCCCCAGCCCTGCTCGCCCTTCCCCAAGGAACTTTCCACTGCTGCCACGCTTACCGGACCTTATGGATCCGAACCTCCTGCCGAACCGGAGCTGACAGGCTTGGCAGGAGCTGCATCAGGGTTGGCGGCAGCTCCATCTGCTGCCAATGGTTCGGCTTCAGAGGCCCCTTCAGCATCCATTCCTCCTGTCGCACCTTTCGTGGAGGACCCAGTTACCAACGTAACGCAGTGCACGTGCTCAGGGGACGACTGGGAGTGTTACAAGCCGGCGCAGCTGCACTTCCTGGAGATGCTGTCGCGGGCAGAGAGGGGGTGTGTGGTGCTGCTGACAGGCGACATGGGGTACTCTGACATCAAGGTGAGCATTCATAAGGAGACATGGGGTTCTCTGACATCAAGGTGAGCATCTAAAGTGTCTTTCGTGTGATTCTTCGACAAATGGATTACATAAACTCGGTCGAATCTTGAGGGCGCATAGCAGTTTTTTCAATATTTTTCCTTGTTATTGCTTGGTGGGACCAGGTGTTCCGGCCAGGGCCAGGGCGGGCGTACACGGATCTCTACCGCAGCTCGCAGCACTACCGCCCCATCTACCAGGTGAGAGCACTGCCGCCCCATCTACCAGGTGAGGGCACTGCCGCCCCATCTACCAGGTGAGGGCACTGCCGCCCCATCTACCAGGTGAGGGCACTGCCGCCCCATCTACCAGGTGAGGGCACTGCCGCCCCATCTACCAGGTGAGGGCACTGCCGCCCCATCTACCAGGTGAGGGCTCTGCCGCCCCATCTACCAGGTGAGGGCACTGCCGCCCCATCTACTAGGTGAGGGCACTGCCGCCCCATCTACCAGGTGAGGGCACTGCCGCCCCATCTACCAGGTGAGGGCACTGCCGCCCCATCTACCAGGTGAGGGGGGTTCAGGGCGGCTTGCTGCAAGCAGGGAGTAATGTGGTGACGGGCGGTGGGCGGTCACGGGTGGTGGGCAGTGACGGGCAGTGGGCGGCGATGGGCGGTGGGCGGTGACTGGTGGTGGCGGGTGGTGGCGGGCGGTGCCAGGCGGTGGCGGGCGGTGACGGGGAGTGACGGGCGGTGGGCTGTGGCGGGCGCTGATGGGCGGTGAGGGACGGTGACGGGCTGTGGCGCGCGGTGGGCGGTGACGGGCGTGTACCATTCAATCGATCTGTCATATTCTTTGTCTATTCTCAATTGAGTTGGTTCGTTTGTTGCGGTTCATTACAATCTTTTCAATTTAAAAAATGTCTCGACTTCTCTGGCTCCCTGCCTCGTTTGGAGTGGCAGGTGATGGCAAGTGGCCTGACAAGGAGACCACGGATAGACACTTCATGCAGCCCAGGTGAGTCACTGATTTCTAGGGAACGTTCAAAGCATGCCTCGCATCTCTAGTCCAGCTTTCCACAATCTCGCCGGTTTGAAGTTCTGGCCGCTGCTGGCCGCAGCTTGCCGCTGCTTGCCTCTTCTGGCCGCTGCTTGCCACTGCTTGCTGCTGCTTGCCGCTGCTGGCCGCTGCTTGCCGCTGCTTCCCCCTGCTTGCCGCTGCTTGCCTCTTCTGGCCGCTGCTTGCCACTGCTTGCTGCTGCTTGCCGCTGCTGGCCGCTACTTGCCGCTGCTTCCCGCTGCTTGCCGCTGCTGGCCGCCGCTTGCCGCTGCTTCCCGCTGCTTACCGCTGCTTGGCACTGCTTGTCGTTGCTTGCCGACAAATGCATCCTTCCTGAGGCGCGTTAGAACCCTGTAAACTGCCAATGGCCTGCGGGTTTCGGGTTTTGGGTATACTGAGGTGCGCTCATCTCCCGCTTCTGTGTGCAGGCAACGCATGGACGCATGACCCTCTCAAGATGCGCCACCCCTCGGAGTGCTCTGTGGCCCCTGCGCCGTCCTTCGGCATGGTGGAGGTGAGCGGGTGGGGGTGTGGCTTGGGCGTCCCGTGGTGCGACACAGTATAGCGCAACTTAGCACATTGTTGCTGACGTCGTTCTGAGGTCTGCTTGTCCCCAAACTCACCTCCTCCGGCCCCCCTGGCTCCCACCCGACCCATTTGTCCATCAGGTGGATTGGGATAGAGAAAAGGTGGTGAAGTTGCAAGTGAGGGACGGGGATACGAGTCAAGTTAGAATAGAGCTTGTTTTGGATTTGGCCGAGTGCCTAAACCATTGAAGAATAAACACCATCAGATTTGGTAAGGCCTTGCATTTCTCACAATAAGACCTGAGGTTTCACTAGGTACTTAGAGCAATTTCTAACCATGAGATTCCTGCATTCAGATACCGGAACAACCATAGCGAAGACACGCCATCCACGCCCTCCATCTTCCATCGGGTCTCCCTGAAGAGCGTACGCCAGATCCACTCATCTTATTAGACCAAGACCCATACTGTGGCCACCACAACCAGACGACCCTTCTGTTGCCAGGCCAACACCGTCGCTCCAGTGCTTCTCGAGCGGGAATCACGCCAGAAAGATTCATAACGCGCGCGACGCCTGACGGGTGTGGCTTGAGAGCCCCTAGGACCAGCTAGGTCATGTAGCTTTAGGCATGCAGCGTCACCTCCTCTCGCGTGCCGCCTCACGCGCGGTACTCGTGCGACGACAGCGCGACACCACGTGGGCGGTTACAGTCGGCCGTACGAGCCACGTGGCACAAGATGAACAGGTATATGAAACCGCGCAGTTGAGTACGTACTTGCCTTCAGCTGCGTACGTAAGCGCTGTTTCTCCGCCCACATGGCTTCCGCCCAGTGGCGCGCCCACTGGGGACGGCGGGATTTTCCGCCGAGAGTGCAATCCGCTGGAGTTAGAGGTTCGGGGGCGCCGGGGCTTGGCGACTGCCGCGGAAGCTGCGCCAGCCGCGGATGCGGGCGAGGCGCCGCGGGTGGCGGAAGGTCGTGCGCCAGAGACTGCGGCGGCGGAGGGAGAAGCGGAGAAGCACAAGGCGCAGACCCGCGCGGAGGGCGGTGGGCGGAAGAACGGGGGCAGAGGCGGGGGAAGCGGGTGGTGGGAGGCGGAGGAGAGGCGCAGGCAGAAGAGCGTGCCCGCGTGGGTGTTCGGGGAGTTCGAGCATCCGATCCGACGTGGCAGCCTGCCGTTGCACGCGTGGATCGCGTTTAGGGTGCTCAAAGACGCGGGTGCGTGCCCATGCCTGCTCTCACGTTCCAAACACTCTCTTCCTCCTCGCTCCCTTCCACCCTCCTTCTCTCCTCCGCTCCATCTCTCTCTCCTTCCGCTTCGCTCTTCTCTTCTCGGATTCATACAGACTACCCAGAGGCACTGGCCCGTCCTCTCATTTCGAAATCCGGAACCCTAAACCCTGAACTTCTCACCCCTAAACCCTGCGTCTACCTGGTAGGGCGTGTAGTGCGAAAATTGTTCCTGAGGCGCACGCTCAAGAACGTGGACACCATTGTGGAGGCCTCCAAATTCCCTAACCCTTAAACCCTGAACCCGGTCATCCTAAACTCCCAGGCATGGAGCCATACCTGGTGGGCGGCGCAGTGCGCGACCTGTTCCTGGGGCGCACGCCCAAGGACGTGGACATCATAGTGGACGCGTCCCCGGCGCAGGTGGCGCGCGTGTTCCGCGAGCGCAAGTGGCGCCCCATGGTCATCGGCAAGCGCTTCCCCATCTGCCGCGTCTTCCTCAAAAACTCCATCGTCGATGTGAGTGGGGATGCCGGATATGTCAGTGGGGGGAATGGGAATGTCAGTGGGGGGGCTGGGAATGTCAGTGGGGGGGCTGGGAATGTCAGTGGGGGGGCTGGGAATGTCAGTGGGGGGGCTGGGAATGTCAGTGGGGGGGCTGGGAATGTCAGTGGGGGGGCTGGGAATGTCAGTGCGGGGGCTGGGAATGTCAGTGGGGGGGCTGGGAATGTCAGTGGGGGGGCTGGGAATGTCAGTGGGGGGGCTGGGAATGTCAGTGGGGGGGCTGGGAATGTCAGTGGGGGGGCTGGGAATGTCAGTGGGGGGGCTGGGAATGTCAGTGGGGGGGCTGGGAATGTCAGTGGGGGGGCTGGGAATGTCAGTGGGGGGGCTGGGAAGGAATGTCAGTGGGGGAATCGGAATGTCAGTGGGGGGGCTGGGAATGTCAGTGGGGGGGCTGGGAATGTCAGTGGGGGGGCTGGGAATGTCAGTGGGGGGGCTGGGAATGTCAGTGGGGGGGCTGGGAATGTCAGTGGGGGGGCTGGGAATGTCAGTGGGGGGGCTGGGAATGTCAGTGGGGGGGCTGGGAATGTCAGTGGGGGGGCTGGGAATGTCAGTGGGGGGGCTGGGAATGTCAGTGGGGGGGCTGGGAATGTCAGTGGCGGGGGCTGGGAATGTCAGTGGGGGGGCTGGGAATGTCAGTGGGGGGGCTGGGAATGTCAGTGGGGGGGCTGGGAATGTCAGTGGGGGGGCTGGGAATGTCAGTGGGGGGCTGGGAATGTCAGTGGGGGGGCTGGGAATGTCAGTGGGGGGGCTGGGAATGTCAGTGGGGGGGCTGGGAATGTCAGTGGGGGGGCTGGGAATGTCAGTGGGGGGGCTGGGAAGGAATGTCCGTGGGGGGAATCGGAATGTCAGTGGGGGGGGCTGGGAATGTCAGTGGGGGGCTGGGAATGTCAGTGGGGGGGCTGGGAATGTCAGTGGGGGGGCTGGGAATGTCAGTGGGGGGGCTGGGAATGTCAGTGGGGGGGGCTGGGACGGGAATGTCAGTGGGGGGGCTGGGAATGTCAGTGGGGGAGCTGGGAATGTCAGTGGGGGGGCTGGGAATGTCAGTGGGGGGGCTGGGAATGTCAGTGGGGGGGCTGGGAATGTCAGTGGGGGGGCTGGGAATGTGAGTGGGGGGCTGGGAATGTGAGTGGGGGAGCTGGGAATGTGAGTGGGGGGCTGGGAATGTGAGTGGGGGGGCTGGGAATGTCAGTGGGGGGGCTGGGAATGTCAGTGGGGGGGCTGGGAATGTGAGTGTGGGGGCTGGGAATGTGAGTGTGGGGGCTGGGATTGTGAGTGGGGGAGCTGGGAATGTGAGTGGGGGGGCTGGGAATGTGAGTGGGGGGCTGGGAATGTCAGTGGGGGGGCTGGGAATGTCAGTGGGGGGGCTGGGAATGTGAGTGTGGGGGCTGGGAATGTCAGTGGGGGGGCTGGGAATGTGAGTGGGGGGGCTGGGAATGTGAGTGGGGGGGCTGGGAATGTGAGTGGGGGGGCTGGGATTGTGAGTGGGGGGGCTGGGATTGTGAGTGGGGGGCCTGGGAATGTGAATGGGGGGGCTGGGAATGTGAGTGGGGGGGCTGGGAATGTGAGTGGGGGGGCTGGGAATGTGAGTGGGGGGGCTGGGAATGTGAGTGGGGGGGCTGGGAATGTGAGTGGGGGGCTGGGAATGTGAGTGGGGGGGCTGGGAATGTGAGTGGGGGGGCGCGGATTGTGAGTGGGGGGGCTGGGAATGTGAGTGGGGGGGGCTGGGAATGTGAGTGGGGGGCTGGGAATGTGAGTTGGGTGGGGGGCTGGGAATGTGAGTGGGGGGCTGGGAATGTGAGTGGGGGGGCCTGGGATGTGAGTGGGGGGCTGGATGTGAGTGGGGGGGCTGGGAATGTGAGTGGGGGGGGCCTGGGAATGTGGAGTTGAGGGGGGGCTGGGAATGTGAGTGGGGGGGGCTGGGATGTGAGTGGGGGGGCTGGGAATGTGAGTGGGGGGGCTGGGAATGTGAGTGGGGGGGCTGGGAATGTGAGTGGGGGGCCTGGGGAATGGAGTGGGGGGGCGGGGCGGGAATGGAGTGGGGGGGCCTGGAATGGAGTGGGCGGGGGCTGGGAATGTGAGTGGGGGGCCTGGGAATGTGAGTGGGGGGGCTGGGAATGTGAGTGGGGGGCTGGGAATGTGAGTGGGGGCTGGGAATGTGAGTGGGGGGGCGCGGATTGTGAGTGGGGGGCTGGGGAATGTGAGTGGGGGGGGGGGGGGGGGTGGGAATGTGAGTGGGGGGGCTGGGAATGTGAGTGGGGGGGCTGGGAATGTGAGTGGGGGCTGGGAATGTGAGTGGGGGGGCTGGGATGTGAGGGGGGGGGGGAGTGGTGGGGGGCTGGGAATGTGAGTGGGGGGGCTGGGATGGGTGGGGGCTGGAATGTGAGTGGGGGGGGCTGGGATGTGAAGTGGGGGGCTGGGATTGTGAGTGGGGGGGCTGGGTGTGGTGGGGGGCTGGGGAATGTGAGTGGGGGGCTGGGAATGTGAGTGGGGGGCTGGGAATGTGAGTTGGGGGGCTGGGAATGTGAGTGGGGGGCTGGGATTGTGAGTGGGGGGCTGGGAATGTGAGTGGGGGGCTGGGGATTGTGAGTGGGGGGGCTGGGAATGTGAGTGGGGGCCTGGGAATGTGAGTGGGGGGGCTGGGAATGTGAGTGGGGGGGCTGGGAATGTGAGTGGGGGGCTGGGAATGTCAGTGGGGGGGCTGGGAATGTAGTGGGGGGCTGGGAATGTGAGTGGGGGGGGCTGGGAATGTGAGTGGGGGGGCTGGGAATGTGAGTGGGGGGGCTGGGAATGTGAGTGGGGGGCTGGGAATGTGAGTGGGGGGGCTGGGAATGTGAGTGGGGGGGCTGGGAATGTGAGTGGGGGGGCTGGGAATGTGAGTGGGGGGCTGGGATGTGAGTGGGGGGCTGGGAATGTGAGTGGGGGGCTGGGAATGTGAGTGGGGGCCTGGGAATGTGAGTGGGGGGCTGGGATGTGAGTGGGGGGCTGGGAATGTCAGTGGGGGGGCTGGGGAATGTCAGTGGGGGGCTGGGAATGTCAGTGGGGGGCTGGGAATGTGAGTGGGGGGCTGGGATTGTGAGTGGGGGGCTGGAATGTGAGTGGGGGGCTGGGAATGTGAGTGGGGGGGGCTGGGATGTGAGTGGGGGGCTGGGAATGTGAGTGGGGGCTGGGAATGTAGTGGGGGGCTGGGAATGTGAGTGGGGGGCTGGGAATGTGAGTGGGGGGGCTGGGAATGTGAGTGGTGGGGCTGGGAATGTGAGTGGGGGGGCTGGGAATGTGAGTGGGGGGGGCCTAGAGATGTGAGCTGGGGATAGGAGTGAGTGTTCAACAGCCATGGGGTACCTCCTCGGCATGGGGTTACCAGCTCGGCCATGAGCCGCCAGCTCGGCCATGGTTTTGCAAAATAGCCCGCGGGAGGTTGCGTAGTTAAAGCCTGCTGGAGAGTGCGCAGAGAGAGCCTGGAGGGAATGCACGCGTGGGCGTGCAGTCCCCCTGCTGTTTTAGCGCCTCACTCACCCCCGACATACTACCCCGGCTCGGTGTATGCCTTGATTCATTCGCGTATGGGTGTGTTTATGCATGGATGTGTTTATGCATGGTTTCATTCATGTATCGATGCGTGTATGCATAGATTCATTCATGTATAGATGTGTTTATGCAGAGATTGATTCATGTATAGATGTGTTTATGCATAGATTCATTCATGTATCGGGTGTGTGTTTATGCATGGATTTATCCACGTCTGGATTTGATATATGCATGGATTTATCCATGTCTGGATTTGATATATGCATGGATTTATTCGCGCATGGTTTTCTTCGTGCATGGATTCGTTTATACCTTCTTGCTCCTCCTCCTGTTCGTCTACGAGTGCAGATTTCCAGTTTCGGCAGCGATGCTACCGAGTTTACTCTACCCGTCGTGCCCTCAAAAGACGATGCTGTGTCAGCAGTACCAGCTGTTCCAGCACCCTTTGCATCAGAGGAAGGGCCGCTGGCAGGAGGAGCAGCAGATGGGCCCTCAGCGGCAGCAGATGGGCCCTCAGCGGCAGTCAATGGCCTTATGGGCTTGACTAGCGATGGGGTTGTGGAGTTGCCTGCTGATGGCGATGTTACAAAGGTTGTTGGCGGGCTTGCAGGGGATTCACCAGGCGGGCTTGTAGCTTTAGCCGGGGCACAGGAGGCAGGGGGTTTTGCAGAGAGAGTGAGCTGGGGGGAGGTGATTCTGGTGAAGGTTGGTAGTGCGGAGGCAGGTGTGTGGGCGGGGGAGACAGGATTGAGGAGGGGGAGGAGGAAGGAGACAGTTTAGTGCTGGAGGGGAAGAGGCTAGGACAGGTGGGGTTGGGGGAGGGAAGCAGGAGGGTTGCTCCAAACAGAGGAGGCTGCAAGGGGTCTTATTGGTGCTGAGGATGATGGTGGTGCGGCTGCTGCTGCTGCTGCTGCTGCTGCTGCTGCTGCTGCTGCTGCTACAGCAGCAGCAGCGGAAGCATCCCCCTTGGGTTGGCGGGGCGAGTTGGTTCGGCCGGCGGTGCAGCGGCACTCGTACGTGTGGTCGGAGGGCGATGAGAGGCGGTGGAGGAACGCCCATCAAGCGAGACCTTACAGTCAACGCGTAAGGCGCATGGGGTGGTGATGTGGTGTGGCTGGTGCTGTGGTGCTGTGGCTCTTTGATGCTTTTGTTTGTGCCTGTGGGATAGTGGCTTGAAGTCCAAATCGGTACACTTGTGTTGCAGTAACTTGTAACCGAGGCATCAATGGGCGCCGTGCATGCATGTGTGCACGGATTCAACTGTCTGTGCCCTTGTCACGCCCACCTCCATGCAGGTTGTTTTATGACCCCCATCGGCTCACCCTCTATGACTATGTGGGCGGCACTCGCGATCTGTACAAGCAGACCGTAAGTGGGCTTACAAGAGGGCTACCTGCGACGCTGCCCTTCTCCTCTCCTTGCCGTCTCCTCCCACCACTTCTCTTGTACCTCTCCTGTCTACAACCAAGTGCAACCCTCGCCTCCTTGTTCGTTGTGGCCTTCTCTCCTGCCTGTTGCCCTCTTGCCCTCTTGCCCTCTTGCCCTCTTGCCCTTCTTGCCCTCTTGCCCTCTTGCCCTCTTGCCCTCTTGCCCTCTTGCCCTCTTGCCCTCTTGCCCTCTTGCCCTCTTGCCCTCTTGCCCTCTTGCCCTCGTGCCCTCTTGCCCTCTTGCCCTCTTTGCCCTCTTGCCCTCTTGCCCTTTCTTGCCCTCTTGCCCTGCCCTCTTGCCCTCTTGCCCTCTTTGCCCTCTTGCCCTCTTGCCCTCTTGCCCTCTTGCCCTCTTGCCCTCTTGCCCTCTTGCCCTCTTGCCCTTCTTGCCCTCTTGCCCTCGTGCCCTCTTGCCCTCTTGCCCTCTTGCCCTCGTGCCCTTCTTGCCCTCGTGCCCTCTTGCCCTCTTGCCCCCTCTTGCCCCTCTTGCCCTCTTTGCCCTCTTGCCCCTCTCTTGCCCCTCTTGCCCTCTTGCCCTCTTGCCCTCTTGCCCTCTTGCCCTTCTTGCCCTCTTGCCTTGCCTCTTGCCCTCTTGCCTCTTCTTGCCCTCTTGCCCTCTCTGCCCTCTTGTGCCTCTGCCTCTTGCCCTCTTGCCCTCTTTGCCCTCTCCTCTTGCCCTCTTGCCCTCTTGCCCTCTTGCCCTCTTGCCCTCTTGCCTCTTGCCCTCTTGCCCTCTTGCCTCTTGCCCTCTGCCCTCTTGCCCTCTTGCCCTCTTGCCCTCTTGCCCTTCTTGCCCTCTTGCCCTCTTGCCCTCGTTGCCCTCTTGCCCTCTTGCCCTCTTGCCCTCTTGCCCTCTTGCCCTCTTGCCCTCTTGCCCTCTTGCCCTCTTTGCCCTCTTGCCCTCTTGCCCTCTTGCCCTCTTGCCCTCTTGCCCTCTTGCCCTCGTGCCCTCTTGCCTCTTTGCCCTCTTGCCCCTTCTTGCCCTCTTGCCCTCTTGCCCTCTTGCCCTCTTGCCCTCTTGCCCTCGTGCCCTCTTGCCCTCTTGCCCTCTTGCCCTCTTGCCCTCTTGCCCTCTTGCCCTCTTGCCCTCTTGCCCTCTTGCCCTCTTGCCCTCTTGCCCTCTTGCCCTCTTGCCCTCTTGCCTCTTGCCCTCTGCCCTCTTGCCCTCTTGCCCTCTTGCCCTTGCCCTCTTGCCCTCTTGCCCTCTTGCCCTCTTGCCCTCTTGCCCTCTTGCCCTCTTGCCCTCTTGCCCTCTTGCCCTCTTGCCCTCTTGCCCTCTTGCCCTTCTTGCCCTCTCCTTTGCCCTCTTGCCCTCTTGCCCTCTTGCCCTCTTGCCCTCTTGCCCTCTTGCCCTCTTGCCCTCTTGCCCTCTTGCCCTCTTGCCCTCTTGCCCTCTTGCCCTCTTGCCCTCTTGCCCTCTTGCCCCTCTTGCCCTCTTGCCCTCTTGCCCTCGTGCCCTCTTGCCCTCTTGCCCTCTTGCCCTCTTGCCCTCTTGCCCTCTTGCCCTCTTGCCCTCTTTGCCCTCTTGCCCTCGTGCCCTCTTGCCCTCTTGCCCTCTTGCCCTCTTTGCCCTCTTGCCCTCTTGCCCTCTTGCCCTCTTGCCCTCTTGCCCTCGTGCCCTCTTGCCCTCTTCTTGCCCTCTTGCCCTCTTGCCCTCTTGCCCTCTTGCCCTCGTGCCCTCTTGCCCTCTTGCCCTCTTGCCCTCTTGCCCTCTTGCCTCTTGCCCTCTTGCCCTCTTGCCCTCTTGCCCTCGTGCCCCTCTTGCCCTCTTGCCCTCTTGCCCTCTTGCCCTCTTGCCCTCTTGCCCTCTTGCCCTCTTGCCCTCGTGCCCTCTTGCCCTCTTGCCCTCTTGCCCTCTTGCCCTCTTGCCCTCTTGCCCTCTTGCCCTCTTGCCCTCTTGCCCTCTTGCCCTCTTGCCCTCGTGCCCTCTTGCCCTCTTGCCCTCTTGCCCTCTTGCCCTCTTGCCCTCTTGCCCTCTTGCCCTCTTGCCCTCTTGCCCTCTTGCCCTCTTGCCCTCTTGCCCTCTTGCCCTCGTGCCCTCGTGTCCTCAGGTGCGCGTCATTGGTGACACCCGAGCTAGCTTCCAGGAGGACCCTGGTGAGCTGCACTCGCATGCTTGCTGTACTCGCATGCTTGCTGCACTCGCATGCTTTCTTGCATCCCTTGCATCTCGGTATTGCTTTATCTGAAAAGGGCTCATTATACCTGTGTACTCGCGCCTCCCACCTATCTGCCTTCAGATTTCATTCCCCCTTTTGAATCTCCTCCTGCCACCACACCCACCAGCGCGTTGCCTGAGAGCCGTTCGTCTGGCGGCGCGCCTGGGCTTCCGCCTGAGCACGAGTGTCAACCGCGCACTCAAAGCACCCGACACTCTGCAGGCCGTTGCCTCACTCAATCAGGTGCTGCCACGTGTCTCCTCCGGTATCCGCCTTGTTTGCCCATCTCTCCCAGCTTGCGTGCCTTTTCTCTCTCCCTTCCATTTTGCCATGCCACGCCTTGTCTCACCATCCTCCCTTCTCTCTTTCCTCCCCCTCCCTCCCTCTCCTCCCCACTCTCTTGCTTCCCCCAGTCTCGCCTGCAGATGGAGCTGGTCCAGATGATGTCTCATGGCGCATCTGACCTGTCCGTTCGCATCCTCTGGCAGTTCAACCTGCTCCCTCTGCTGCTGCCGCTTCAGGTAACCCACCCCCCGTTCCTTCCCCCAACCCGCTATTCCTCTCACTCTTCCTCTGCCTCTCACTCTCTCCCCTCTGCCCCTCACCCTCTCCGCTCTGCCTCTCATCCCCTCCTCGTGTGCCTTGTCCCTGCCCCCGCACCTCCCAGGCGCAGTACCTGCGGGGAAAGAAGTTTCCCCACAAGGTGTCTTCAGACCGGCCGGATCTGCTCTTTGTGAGTCCATCCGGCATCGTGTTTTATGCGTCAGGTATCCGCGTTGACAGGCATGCCATGTGTCTCAACCCGGTATACTCTGCCCACTCTCTCATCACTTTTGCCACTTCCCCAGCCCATTCATGTCAACGTCTAGTGCTGGTGTCTCTTCCTGCCTTACTGCTCGCCCCCCATGCTCCCTCACACCCCTTCACTTGGGCCTCTGCTTCTATTGTGCTGCTTGCCTTTGCCCCTACTCAGGACCTGCTACAGGAACTGGACACGTTGGTGGAACCCGACAACCCATGCCACCCATCCACGTGGCTCGCTCTCCTCGCGCTCCACCTGGCGGCCGCTGATTTGCCGCACCACCTCCGCCCTCTCGCCCTCCTGACAGCTGTCCTCGCCGCCCACCCCTCCTGCCCGTCCACTCACGTTGCGGCACGTGTCGCCATCTCCTTCGCCCAGACCTCCCATCCAGACCTGTGTAGGAGGCTTGGTATTCAGGATCTGGACTGGCCGGCTGAGGACACGCCGAGCCTCAGGGGTGAAAGCAGGTTCGGGCCAAAGCAGCAGCAAGAGGGGCCTGGAGAGGGTAGTAGTGACATGGGAAGCAGTGGAGCGGGAGGAGAGGAAGGCAGCCAAAGGGCAGAAGGGGGGAGGGAGGCGGGAAGACTGGAGTGGGAGGGTTTAAGGGAGGTATGGTGGGAAGGGGAGGAGGGGATGGAGGGGGTGCGGGGCTTTGAGGTGGTGAGGCAGTGAGGGGGGCCATGGGGGCTATGAGTGAGAGGAGAAAGGTGGCGTTGCAGCAGCTGGCAGCAGTGGAGGGGCAACTGGGGGAGGTGGTATCTGAGATGATGCGCAGAGGAGGGGGGGTAGGCAGGTTCGCTGCTACACTTGGGGGGGCAGGGGAGGGTGGAGGGAGAACGAGAAGGAGCAGGAGGGGAGAGTAGCAGGTCAGGAGGAGGGATTACTGACAATGAGGGAGGAAGGTACAGGAGAAGCAGAGGGTTCAAGTGAGGGGGCAGGGTCGGTGTTGACGCCTGACCTGGCATCAGCGGTGGCAGGGAGCGTGGGGAGGGTGCGGGAGTGGCGGCAGCAGTGGCGGGAGGAGCAGCAGATGCTGCGAGATGTGGGGCAGCTGCTGACAGCCATGGAGGGCGCGCTGGGGGGGGCGCAGACGGATGGGGGGAGAGGAAGGGGGGAGAGAGGAGGAGGAGGAGGAGGAGGAGGAGGAGGAGGTATGGGAGTGGAGGGAGGAGAGGGGGATGAAGGGAGATTGGAGGAGGGGGAGAGTGAGGGGTTTGAAGGGGTGGGAGATGGTGAGGGTAGGGTGGGGGGAGGTGTGGTGGCAGGGCGAGAGGAAGGCTCTAGTAGTGATAGCATGGGGAGTGACGGTGGTGAGTGTGACAGTAGCGAGGGGGAAGAAGCGGTGGTGTTTGCTGCTGCAGATGCGCATGGTAGCGGCAGCGAGCAGAGGACAAGGCGGAAGAGACAAGGATGGAGGGCCACGACAGAGGAGGATATTATCCGGGCGGCATCTCTCGTAAGTCAGTGTGATTCCGCGCCCTCCTCGCAGCGTTCCTTTGCAACATCTCCCCCCACTGCCGTCCGTAGGTGACTTTTGTATTTTGAGTTGACTCAAAATACACCCAGTCACCTGCAGCGTCCCTTTGCAACATCTCCCCCCACTGCCATCCCCTCCTCGCTTTCATCCTCCACCCCTGCGTGTCTGCTCCCCCTCGGGTGCATGTGGCAGCTGGTGGCGAGGGCATCGCAGCATGCGCACCACATCGTGATTGACAAGCTGCTCACCAGGACTATGCGCAATGCCAGTCCCATTCCCTCCCCATCTTCATTCCCCGCAATTCTGTGTCTCCTCCCCCCCCCCCCCCCCCCCCCCCCTCCTCATGCGTGGCAGCTGGCGGTGAGGGCATCGCAGCAGGTGCACCACATGGTGGATGACAGGCTGCTCTCAAGGGCCATACACGACCTCACTGGCTTGCAACGCCAAGAAAATGTATGTGTGCACATCTATTCGTTAGTCTCATGTTGGTCATTTCTACCCCTTGAGGCTAACGCATCATTTTCTCTCATCTGGTTTGGTTTCCGTCCCCGTCCACTCTCTTGCTTTGCCCATCTATGATACAGGTGTTCATACAGCAGAGCACCGCGCAGTCCGCGCATCAGCTTTTCCACGAAATCATTTGCAAGTCGGAGGTTAATACACATGGGAACCCAGAGTCACACTCAAGATCCAAGTCGCCGGATGTGCGTCCAGATGTCATCACGGGATATGAAGAGGATGTGCCTAATATGGACGAAGTGAAGGCGCTGCTTTCTCCATTTGAGAAGCGGCGATTCAGTAGCATCAGGTTTGAGCCGAACGAGGTGGCCTCCATTCTGGTGCATGTGGTTTCAAGAGCCGCCTTTCTAGAACGCAAAGAGATGAACAAATTTGTGCGCAGGTAAATGCTTATGTGTAAAGGTGTTTCGAGCGCATGTAGGAGTAGGATGTCGAAGTGTATGCCACACGTCAAAATTAGAAATAAAAGTGTTTTCCAGCTTGTTAGCATTGTGGTTCCGCGTCACTCGTTAACGCGGATTAGGTCAACAGACCTTGGGATTTCCGCACGGCTTGCTGCTGCCCTGCTCAAGCGACCGACTCCTTGCTATCTGCTTGAAGCGATAGCTCGACATCCAAGTTCCGCAAACTGGGGTCCATCCATAGTCAGGGATAGTCGGCTTTTCTTCATCTCCGGGCGAACGCTGAACCGCCCTCCATGGAGATCGACTTACAGCAGCCTCCAGCTGAGGATGGTACTGCCCACAGCGCCGACGTCGTCCGTCTCGTGACGGCGGAGCACCAACGGATTCTGGTACGCGAATACTCATTCGTCATGAGCGGGTTATTCTCGTTGATAAGCGGAGCCGTGTTTATCGCTGACAGACCGAGCGAAGGGTCCGCGAACGGTTAGGGCTGGAATGAACGTGAGTGGTTAGGTTTGGCAGTCGAGCGGTGGATTCCAGGCTGCGAAAGCTGCGAAGCCTGCGAAACTGTGACGTCTGCGACTGCGTCGTCTGCGAAGCAGACAGCCTCTCGGACAGGAAATGTGTCCGTTGCTTGCTGCAGAGGAATGATCGCGTCAGAATGCGGAACAAGGGAGTCGAACAATCGCGTGTTCCTGGTGCAGCAAGGGTCTCAATTCACCGCTTCTCATGACTCCCTCCCCTCGTCACTCCCCGTCCCCCCGTCCCCCCAGAGCGCATTCCGCAAGGCGCTGGACTCCCCCCTCCCCCCCAGCCAGCTGGCGCTGCCAACCCTGGCGGACGCGTTGCAGCTGGGAGGGAGCGGGGGAGGCGGAGGGGGAACCGGAAGCGCAGCAACTGGGACGCCTGCGCAGGTAGCCAGTTACTATTGAATTGTTACAGGCGCTTAGCTTGTCAGGCTCTTGGGGCGTCCTATGCTTGTCTGTCTTCTCAGCCGATCTACAGATTACTCCTTCTCGCTTGTTTTCGCAAGCAAAGCAGAAAGGGGCAAGCAAAGCCTGTGAAGCATAACCTCTCCTTTGTCCTCGTTATTGCATGCGTCGTTATTGTGCCCTATGCAGAAGGACGGCAAGCTGTCGGTGGAGCAGAACCAGCTGCTGGAGATCGGCCTCAGATCGCTGCTGCAGAGTCTAGTGGTGAGAAGGGCTGTGGTGAGGTGCAGAGTGGTGAGATGCTGAGAGGCGAGGAGGGTTGTGGTGAGTGAGAGGCTGGGTGGTGAGACGAAGTGTGCATAAAATTGAAATTTACAAACCCTAGTGACTTTTGAGTCGACTCAAAAGTCACCTGGGTGGTGAGACGAAGCGTGCATGAAATTGAAATTTACACACCCTATGAACCTTACCCCATGTCACCCTCCCTCTCCCCCTCCCTTCCCGTCCACCCCCCCCCCCTTCCCCCCCCCCCCCCCCCCCCCACCCCCCCCCCCCCCCCCCCCCCACCCCCCCCCCCCCCCCCCCCCCCCCCCCCCCCCCCCCCCCCCCCCACCCCACCCACTACTCACTTGATTCCTTGTTACCGCTTCTCACCCTATTCACATCTCCCCAACCACCTCTATTCCCAATCGCCCTCACTGCAGGCAGGAGAGCGCAGCAGCGCGCAGGGCGTGTGTGTCCCGGGCTACGGCTACACCGAGCCTCCTGTTACCCCCTCTCATCCCATCCCATCCATAACCCCCCACCCCACACCCCGTCTACCGCATTGCGCTCTAAGCAGGAGAGTGCAGCAGCGCAGGGCGTGTCCGTGCTGGCATACGGCCGAACAGAGCCTCCTGTGGCGAGCGCCCATGCCCCCATGCTGGATCCAGAAGGGCCGGGAGGTAGCGCTGCTGGTGCAGACGGCAGGGATGGCGATGGGGATGCGAGCAACGATGCAAGCACAGAAGCCAAGGGGCCACAGGGATCCACAGCTGCCTCCGCAGTCATTCGACTGCTGGGTACGGTTTGATGGTTTTATGCACCGCTTTCCTCATCCGCTGTCTGCCCTGACCTGGCCATTTACGTCCCCCATTCTCTGCGCTTCCAGTCTCGTTCCAGTCTCGTTCCAGTCTCGTTCCAGTCTCGTTCCAGTCTCGTTCCAGTCTCGTTCCAGTCTCGTTCCAGTCTCGTTCCAGTCTCGTTCCAGTCTCGTTCCAGTCTCGTTCCAGTCTCGTTTCCAGTCTCGTTCCAGTCTCGTTCCAGTCTCGTTCCAGTCTCGTTCCAGTCTCGTTCCAGTCTCGTTCCAGTCTCGTTCCAGTCTCGTTCCAGTCTCGTTCCAGTCTCGTTCCAGTCTCGTTCCAGTCTCGTTCCAGTCTCGTTCCAGTCTCGTTCCAGGTCTGTTCTTCGTTCCAGTCTCGTTCCAGTCTCGTTCCAGTCTCGTTCCAGTCTCGTTCCAGTCTCGTTCCAGTCTCGTTCCAGTCTCGTTCCAGTCCAGTCTCGTTCCAGTCTCGTTCCAGTCTCGTTCCAGTCTCGTTCCAGTCTCGTTCCAGTCTCCCTCCGTTCCAGTCTCGTTCCAGTCTCGTTCCAGTCTCGTTCCAGTCTCGTTCCAGTCTCGTTCCAGTCTCGTTCCAGTCTCGTTCCAGTCGTCCAGTCTCGCGCCGGCCTCTCCGCACCCCCCTCGCCTCGCCTGCCTTGTCATCCTCCCCTCCGTGTTCCCCCCACCCCGCCAGACGTGGTGCTGCATCTGTGCTCCCAGGGGCGCATGGAGGGCGGCGTGGTGTTCCAGCTGCTGGAGGACCTGATGGAGCAGTCGCCCATCAGCGACTGCCAGCTCGTCTTCTCCTACATCGAGTCCAAGCAGCAGATCCTCGGCAAGGTCAGCCTGTAGCACTCTCTGTGTAGCACTGCTTGTAGCACTGTCTGTGTAGCACCGTTGATAGGGTTGGCATGCCGCATGAGCACTGTCAGAAACGACCATGGTTCCGGCTTATGTGTTGGAACGTGCACTCCTATTGCCATACATTATTGCGCCTCTGCCTCACCTCTCGCATCGCATCCGCTCTCCACCTCTCCTCTGCCCCCTCTCTCGTCCCGCAGGAGCACATCCTGCAGAGGGGCAAGCTGGTGCTGCTGCGCGCCTGCAACCAGCTGGTCAGGCGCCTCTCCAAGGTGAGGCGATTTTTGAGTCGACTCATTACACATGGTCATTACACATGGTCATTACACATGGTCATTACACATGGTCATTACACATGGTCATTACACATGGTCATTACACATGGTCATTACACATGGTCAGGCGCCTCTCCAAGGTGAGGGAACGGAGTCAGTCGAGGGGCATTGGGGTAGGGTGAGGAAATGGTGTGGACGCCAGGCAAGGTAGCCGGACGCCAGGCAAGGTAGCTGGACGCCTGGCAAGGTAGCTGGACGGGAGGCAATCTTGCCGGCAAGCGACATGGTGCAGGCGTCACGGAGGCACGGCCTGTTGCCCACCCTCTGAGCGCAATGTGCTTCTTCAGGGACCTGCGCTCTGCTCTCTCTCCTCCGAGCACCACATTTCGCTCCACTCATCTCCCCCCTGCTTCCGCCCTCCTCTTGCTTCCCTACCTCTCCACATGTCCGCATGTCCACATGTCCGCATGTCCACATGTCCGCATGTCCACATGTCCGCATGTCCACATGTCCGCATGTCCGCATGTCCCCATGTCCGCATGTCCGCATGTCCGCATGTCCGCATGTCCACATGTCCGCATGTCTGCTCCCTGTGTGCGTCCCTGCAGGCGAACGACCTGGTGTTCTGTGGGCGAGTGCTCATGTTCCTCGCCTACTTCTTCCCCATTGCTGAGAAGTCAGGTCTGTACTGCTGCTAAGCTCTCTTTTCTTTTTGTGAAGTCTTCAGTTTCTCACTCTCCTCCTCATTTTCCCTCTTTTTGGGCGCCTCAAATATAGTTCTCTCACTCTCCTTCTCCTCCTTTTCACTCTCCTTCCATCCCTTGCCTTGCCCCTCCTTGGTGCCACGTTTTCTCTTGCTTTCTTGTTTCCCCTCCATCTCCCCACTCACTCCCCTGCTCCCCTGGCTCAACCGTCCCCTTGCCTCCCTCCAGCGGTGAACATCAAGGGCGCCTTCAACACGTCCAATAAGACCGACTACGCCCGAGAGCCCCCACAGGATGGTGAGCCGATTGTTGATAGCTGGAGATGGTGAGGTGATAGGCGATAATGCATGAATTCAACCAGAAGTCCATATTCTGTTCTAGTTCTGTGAACCAATGCCCTGTCCTCCTGTGTCTGTGTGCTTGGTCTGTATGTGCACGCGCACAGGCGCTGCTCTTCTGGACTTCAACTTCTACACCACCTTCTGGAGCTTGCAGGTGCGCTCACACTGTGTGCTTCACACAGGTAACCTCGTTCTGAGGTTTGCTCTGAAGACAACTGCTCTCGCGAGTTACTAGTCTGTAAGATTACATGAGTTTTAGCAGTAGCAAACCCGTCCCTCTTCCCCCCTACCGCGCCCCCCCCCCTCCCCCTGTCCCCTCCTCCCCCCTGTCCCCTCCTCCCCCCTGTCCCGTCTTTCCCCCTGTCCTTCCCCCATGCCCCTCCACCTCTCCCCAACCCCCTCCCTCCTGGCGCCCCTTACGCCGACCTCCCCCACCAGGAGTATTTCAGCAACCCGCCTCTAGTGGCGGCCAAGTGGCCGCTCTTCTCGTCGCACCTGCGCACCGTGCTGGAAACCTTCCAAGCCCAGCCTCTGGGCGCCGACGCAGAGACAGCGGCAGGGACGGGGGCGGGGGAAGAGGCAGAAGCTGCGGCAGGGGCGGGGGCGGAGGGAGGAGCAGGAGCAGCAGGTTCAGCGGCGGGGGGAGGAGTGAAAGGGAGTGCAGCACCTTTGGGGGCAGGAGGTGCAGGGAAGGGAGACGGGGGGGAGTCGGGGGGAGGGGGGGGTGTGGGAGGCGTGGGGGAGATGCTGGGGGCGTACAACATGAAGTATCTGACGAGTGCGAGCCTGCTGGGGCTGGAGCTGCGGGACTGCAGCTTCCGACGGCAGTTCCTCGTGCAGTGCCTCATCCTGCTCGACTACCTCATGGTGGGCTCACTGCATGCCTTAGGTTTTCTACTCCTCTGATGGCAGCGTGTGCGGCTCCTGGTTGTCCGGCCACTTTCAGAATGTTGGAGTCACCATCGATAAGAAAAGAATCGCCCCACTTCCCTGTATCCCTCCCAGCTTTTCCTGACTTTTGGTGCCCTGCTGTGTCGTATTGTGCGAATGGCGCTGGCAGATCCCAGGGAAGGTGGAGAAGGACGAGAAGCGAGAAGCAATGGTGAGCATCCCGCTCCACTCTCCTTGCATGCGTGTGTCTCTCAACCCTCGTTCCCTCATCTCATCTCATCTCCCTTCATCCTTCTGCAAAGCGCATCCATTCTGGTTCTGCGTTCATTTTAGCCCCCTCTATCGCCCCATTTGTTGCACCCCTGCTTTGGCAGCGCAGACGGTCAATGCGAGGGTATTTGAGGCTCGTCTGAAGAAGCTGCTGAAAGTTCTCCCCTCCCTTTCGTTCCTCCTTGCCCTCTTTCCTCTACCCCCCTCCAACTCCACCCCCCACCGCTCCTCTTTGTTCTCTCAGAGGGTGGAGGCGAGGGAGTTTGAGGCGCGCGTGAAGAAGCTGCTGAGAAGGTTACCGCCGGGCGGCGAGGACTTTCTGTCATCCGTGGAGCACGTGATGAGGCGAGAGAGGCAGTGGGTGAGTAGGGGAGGGAGGGGTATGTGATACAAGTGTGTCTTATTTTAAGAGATGTTTTTCCCCATCCATCTAGTTTGCATCTTTTCATCCCTTTTGCCATGCATACCATGACGAATCGGCACCAATTGTCTCCACTCCCTCATCCTCGACCGCATTCCATCTCTTGAGCACCTGTTTGAACCGCATTCCATTTGCACTGCTCTGTACCGCTCTCCGTCCCTTGCACCAGGTGGCATGGAAGAAGGAGGTGTGTCCACCCTTCGATCGCCCCCCAGCTGACCTCACTCCTCGCAGGGACCCAGCCCCGAAAAGGTATGCCCCACTCCTATGTCTGTCGATGCACCTTGCTTCCGTCTCTTTATTCCCTCCACACCCCACCCCCCCCCCCCAGGCCGCCCTACCAGACGGGCTGCAACGAGCTGGACTGCCTCTTCCGATGGCAGTTGAGGCGCTGCCAGGAACGCGTTCCTCGCCGCACCGTGCGAGGTGACTTTTGAGTCGACTCAAAAGTTCCTGTTGTCCCTCCTTGCACCGTGCGCCCTCTTCGTTATTCCCTCCCCTCTCGCTCCTCCCCTCTGCCCCCCCCAGGCCGCGCTACGTGATGGGCAACAAGGAGCTCGACCGCCTCTTCCGATGGGCTGACAAGCACCCTGTGAGCTCCCTCTTGCCTTTTGCTGTGCTGTCTTACTTACCCGCTCTGGTGTTTGTATCTGGGCTCTGGTGTTTGTATCCCCGCGCTTACTTACCGCACCCCCCATTGCTCTCACGTCCGCTCAACATGTGCGTGTGCCGTTCTGCTGAACGTGCATGGGTTCCCTTCCCTGACTCGCTCTTTCTCGCCGCGTACCATTCACATTCCCCTTCCCCGGCTCCCGCATGTCTCACCCCTCGCCCTCCCTCTCCACCAGGACACATTGACGGACCCAGAGCAGGTGGTGCTTCGAGACCTCATTCAGCCTGATTCACAACAATAACGGCCAACCCCCCTCTCCTCATATCTGCTCTCTTTTCTCCTCTCACCCCACCACTCACTGCCTCCCTCTCCACCAGGACGCATTGACGGACCCAGAGCAGGTGGCAGTGCCGGCATTCAGAGATTTCGTCCAGCCGCTTGCAGAGGATGTGAGTGCCATGGCGAATAGATTCGATGTACAGTCCTCGTACGTGTGGTGGTTGGGTGAAGAAGCAGCCGCTAGTCCAGGCTGCTCTGTTTGTTGGGACTCGCCCTGGCTTTGAGGCGCCTCAAAACTGTTTGTTGGGACTCGCCCTGGCCTTATTGATGACTTGTCTCTCCTGCTGCCCCTTCCCCTTTCCCGCCTTGCTGCCTACCTGCAGATGGACCCCGAGAACGGCATAGAGGCGGAGTACCACAAGACCAATGACAAGGTGAGTAGCGGCAGGGGTGCTCACAGAATGGGGCATAGAGGCATAGAGAAGGATTGAGGCATAGAGGCACAGAGGCGTGGGTGGGTGGGAGGGTAATGCAGATGGTCCCCGAGAATGGCATAGAGGCGGAGTACCACAAGATCAACGACAAGGTGAGAGGCAGCAGGGGCAGCATGAGTGGTGAGAGCTGTGGAGACATGGTGGGCGGTTCTGCTGTCTGGAAGCCTGCATCAGTCAGTGGGTCTCCCTCCTTCAGTTTCCTTCCATCCCTCTCCCCATTCGCCGCTTTCCTTCCCAAACCCTCTCTGCAGGTCTTTTGCTGGCGAGCGTTGCGCCTGGCGGCTCGATCCGACATTGAAGCCTTCAACCGGGTGAGTCGACTGGTGCCTTGACCGAAGTGAGCTATCCATTCTTTTGAATGTGTGGGATTATCCGCTTCAATAGCATCCACCCAGTTGTGCCGCCATGGGCTAGCCTAGCGCCCGCTCAGCAACGCACCGCTTCTCTCAATCACTTGTGGATTCTCATGGCAGCACAGTAACGCCCACTGGAGTAACCTGTGAATCTCCCTCTGCCTCCCAGTTTGGTGACCCGGGCATGGAAGGTATGGTGCCTCCAACCTGACATGCCTTGAGCGCCTGATAGCACCACCTTGCCGCCCTCCCTTCCCTATCTTTCTCTTCTAGTTTGGCGACCTGGGCATGGAAGGGGTGGTGCCGCCGGACATGCTGCCAGAGGAGATCCGGGTGAAGCTGCACAAGACCAAGCCCAGGAAGGACTCGCATGCCGATAGAGACGCGGGGAAGGAAGCTGCTAAGGGTGCGGCTAATAAAGAGGCGGTGGCTGATGCAGCCAAGGATGCAGCGGCTGGTAATGCCCTGCCTCCCACACCGAGTGCAACCACCCCTGCCACGCCTCCTCAATTCCCCCCCGCTGCTGCATCCGCTGCTGCTCCTTCTGCTGCCTCCTCGCCTCCTGCTGATGCTCCAGCCACGCCTGTAGCACCTGCTACAGCTGCTGGCGCCCCACTCAGTGCCCCTGGGAGCTCGAGGGATTCGGCTGGCAGGAAGAGCAGTCCGGCTGTAGCAGCAGGTGGGGGGGACGTGAAGAGGGAGGGAAGGGGTGATGAGGCTGGGGACGGCACACCCAATGCGAAGGGGTTTGTGTTTGATCTCAACATGGACGCCCCGGATGGCTCTCCTGCCGCTGCTGCCGCTGCTGCTGCTGGTGCAAGGACGACACCTGGGAGTGCTGGTGGGGGTGGGTCGGGGAGGAAAGGGCGTGGAGGAGAGGGGAGTGCCATGGAGGTTGAAGGGGAGAAGAAAGCGGATGGGGAGGGGGAGGGGAGAGCCTCAGCTTCTAAGAAGCGGTCGCGTGTAGATGAGTGAAACAGCAAGACGACTGAGGTGTGCCATTGCATCGCACACCCCGGTTCTCCACACGCCGAGCAGTCATGTATACATATGGTAGATGATTGCTGCTATACAACGGGTTGTAGGTGTTTAGAATTGAAGCTTCGGAGGGATGTACGATGCATGACTTCCCTCTATGGGCATCGTCAAAAGCACGAATTGTAAACTCCATTAAGGAAGAACACGCAAGATGCTTTGCCATCACAAGCTGCTCACATACAGCCTCTCACCTAGCTCATATGGGGTCATGCGAACGCTGTACGAAATGTTTCTGATTTAAAGGAAAGATACCGTATTCCCGTATATAACACCCTAGGGTATTGTCAAAAATTCGTTAAAAAAAAACGAATGGGTGTTAACAGTAGGCTGGAAAAATATAACGCCCATGACTTATGTACAATGCAAAATGAATTTGGGGCGTAACATGCAGAGATACATGCACAGTACAGGATGACACCTTAAGCGAGGTTTGGATGACGATCCCCAACCTCCACTCGGGCCAGCCTGGCGATAACGTCATGACGTGCTGCGTTTGCAGCCAATCCAAGGAAGCCGGTCCTGCCAGTACAATAGGAAAGCTGCCTCCTGCAACTTACAAGATTTCATCGACAGCTAGGAATCCCGTGTTTTTACAACGTAACAGCAGCAGGTTGAAGTGCGCGACCAGATTCCTTTACGGAATCTTCTTGATGGGACCAGCATGCATGGTCCCATCGCTTCTTGCAGAGCCGCGCACGCTTCGGCTTGGGGCGTCGGCCACGGTTCTTCTCCAACCTTCTCTTGCCGCATCGTCATTCTTGCTCCTCGCTCCTCTCAGCCTCGATCAAACTCTTCGCAATGCCCGGGCTCTCTAACAGAGGCTCGGGCATTGCCCAATCTCGCCTAGCTCGCTATCCTTCGTCGAAATTTCCCCCCATGGCCGCTCGAGCAGTTAGTGGTGTGTCACTTTTGCGAGCTCATCGCCCACCCTTCGGGAATCAGACGTTGCTCCGTCCTTTCCCACCAGTTCCTTCGGCTCCTAGATATCCGCCTGCATCTCCCGCTCCTCCAGCGCCACCTGCGCCACCAGCGTCCCCTGCACCTCCTGCTCCTGCGCCCCCGGCTCCCCCTGCTCCGCCAGCTCTCTCGTCGCCGGTGGTCACACGTCCCCCGGAGTGGGACAACGATTGGCAGGATGACGACGACCTGTTTTGGGAGGAGGCTGAGGCTGACGACCGCGAGCCTGAACCTTCTCGCCCATTTCCTCGCGTTATCGTGCCTCGTTTCCCGCAAGCGCAACACCTTCGTAACCGTGATGCTGCACCTCCCTCCCCCAGGGCTCGCAGGACGAATCGCAAGTGACTCGCACGGACGGCAACCAAGAAGTTGCACTGTTGGCGAAGTTGGAGGCGGACCCGGAGATGTCGAACCGCTCCCTTGCTCGGATGGCTGGAGTGCAGCCGTGCGATTCATGACTGGAAGAAGAACAAGACACGGCTCACTGCCTCGGCTGGCTGCAGGCGTCGCCTCATCGGCTCCGGTAGGAAGGCGAAGTACCCAACCATGGAGCGCGAGCTGTACAAGAAATTCTTGGGCCAGCGCGCGCGAGGGCTGGCGGTCTCGATCGGCATGCTGCAGAAATGGAGTCGGAAGTACATGCGTAAGCACCACCCAGGCATCGACTGGCGCGCCTCGTCACGGTGGACCATCCAGTTACGCACGCGCTGGGGGCTGACGAAGCGCGTGAAGACAAAGATGGGCCAGCGCATGACTGCAGTTACGTAATTTGACGTGCCACGAATACTCCCTGCCCTCGTCATCTGCTCTAGCTCTCGTCGTGCTTCGTTGTTTGATGACCGTACTTCTGCTTTGTCTGTTTTTTTTTTAATTATTATTTTCATTGGCAGACTGTGACGCGAAGGTCGAGAAGTTCTGGGAGTTCGTTCGGCAGCTCCGCACGCTCAACAACTACCCCGACAATCTTATCATCAACGCGGATCAGACGCCACTATTCTTGGAGATGCCACAGGAGACCACACTCGAAGTCTGGGGCTCGAGAACTGTCCATGTGCGCAAGGCCGGCTACGAGAAGGAGAGGCTAACCATCATGCTGGCCGTCATAGCAAGTGGCAAGAAACTGAAGCCGTATGTCATCTTCAAGCGGAAGACACTACCTCGGATCCGCGTCCCGCCCGGTGAGGATTTCGTGCTTGTTTTTTGTGCCGCCATCGCACATATTTTTCGTAACCGTCTTTCCAGGGCGAACTCTAATGTTTCTTACCTTGCGCTTGTGCAGGAATTGTGATCAAGGCCTAGGAGAAAGGGTGGATGGACTAGACTCATGTCAAGGACTGGGTCACCACCGTCCTGGTGCCGTTTCTCTGCTCGATACCCTCACGGCGCGGTGGCCGTCAGAAGGCTCTGGTGGTCCTCGATTTGTACAAGGGACACCTGACGGAGGGAGTGTCCCAATTGACGCGACTCTTCAAGCTTTACAGGGCTGTCATCCCCGACGGCTGCACGCCCATCGTGCAGCCTCTAGACGTGGCGGTAAACCAGTGCGTCAAGGCGCATGTCCGGAGGTCCTACAGCGAGTGGTTCAAAGAATTCGGCTGCGAGAGCACAACCCCTGCTGGTGAGTAACTTCTTCATTGTTTGACTTTAAAACCTCTACCCGCGTCGTGATTTTTTAAACCATGCCTTGCATTTCTCCACCACTACTCCTAAAGCCCCCGCCTATTGTCTTGTCGTTGTGTTTTCCCCTGTAGGGAATCTCCGCAAGCCGCCAGCCGAGCTCGTGCTGCAGTGGATTGCTGACGCCTGGGCCGCGGTGCCAGCTGAACTCATCCGCCGCGCGTTCAAGACGTGCGGCATCTCCAACGCGACCGACGGCACGGAGGACGAGGTGATCCTCGCCCACATGCGGGACGACGCCGAGGTCGAAGTCATTGAGGACGTCCATGCCGAAATGGAAGAGAGCGGGGCGATGAACCCACACTACGATTCGGAATATGTGGAGCCGACCGCCACGCCCAGCTCAGAGGAAGACGATCCCGATGTCAAGGCTGAGATTGAAGCTGCAGCAATTGCCTCATCATTCGGTACATCGGGAGCTGCAACAGCCGCGCCAGCATCAGAGGCGTCTGGGAATCCAGGAGCCCGCACAGCAGCAGCACCATCAAGCTCTACAGAAGCAGCGACAGAGGCGGAGATATCAGCTGCCGAAGGCGGCGAAGGTCTAGAGATGCGTGCGGTGGAGGTTCTGGTGGGCCTGGCTGCGTCCCGCTGGACTGATGACTTTGACTGGGACGACATCGCCAGTGACGACGAAGATGCCGAGGTGTGGCATGCAGGAGAGGACCACGATGAGGACGACGACAGAGACTAACTATTGACTTACCTGCTAGGACATATAGCTAGCTGTTGTATTATTTGTGTGTGCTGGGTGAATGGTAGTGGTAGCTAGCTTAAGTAGTCGAAAATGCACTAGAAATGCCTCGCACAACGGATAGGTTCTGGACTAGTGTTAAAACTGTTGTCTAATGTCTAAACCTTGACGCTAGACCATTAAAATCTACAAATCCTCGATGGGGGGTGTTATGTATAATTCGTACTAAAAAAAGGGCGTGCTCTAAAAAATGCACCATCTCATAAGCTATCCCCCGGATATGCCACCCATGGGGTGACTATTTCGGCGGGTCTTATATACGGGGTAATACGGTACCTCACGCAAAGAGTGTGTCGTGCATGACAGGTCAAGGCATTGCCATTTCGTGGGTACTCAATCAGGGATAGTGCCGACATACAGTATCAAGCATCCCTATCACCTCCATCCCTATCCCCCATATCCTACCCTCCATATCGCTAACCCATCTCTCCATATCCCCCATCTCTCCATATCCCCCATATCTCTGTCCCCACCAATTTTCTTATCGCCTCTTTAAATATCCCCCATATCCCTATCCCCTCTATCCCAATTGTCTCCACCCCTATCCCACATATCCCTATCCCCAACATCCTTATCCCCTCTATCAATATCCCCCATATCCCTATCCCCTCTATCCCAAGCCTCCCTACCCCTATCCCACGTATCCCTATGTCCCATATCCCTTTCCCCAATATCCATATCCCCCCTATCCTTATCCCACATACCCCTATCCCCCGCATCCCTACCCCCTCGATCCATATCCACCAAATCCATATCCACCATGCCTTTATCCCCCATATCCCTATTCCCCATGTCCATATTCCCACAATCCCTATCCTCCCTATTCTTATCCCTCATACTCCTATCCCCCCTATCCCTATCACATATACCCCTAACCCTTAATTCCCTACCCCCTTTATTCCTCTCCCATATATCACTATCCTCTCTATCCTTATCCCCCATATCCCTATCACATTTTACCTCTATCCCTCACATCCCTATCCCCCTTGTCCCTAGACACCAAATCTCCTCAATCTCTATCCCCTATGCCCCTCTCCCCCACATCCCTATCCCTTCTATCCCTATCCCCTATACCCCAAACCCCATAATCCCTTCCCCCCCTATCCCTATCACCCATACCCCTATCCCCTCTATCCATATTCCCCATACCCCTACCCCCCAAATCCATGTCCCCATATCTCAATCCCCCATATCCCTATCTCTTAAATCTCTATCCCCCATATCCCTATCCCCATACATCCCTATCACCTCTATACGCATCCTCCAAATCCTTATCCTTTCAATCCTTACCCCCATACCCATAATACCCATCCCACATATCCCTATCACCCAAATCACTATTCCCTCTATCTCTATCCCCCATATCCCTATCTTCCCTATCCCTATCCCCCAAATCCCTATCCCCCATATCCCTCCACCCCATGTCCCTCACCCCCTTATCCCTAACCTTTATTTCCCCTATCCTCGCTATCTCTGTCGCCTATTTTCCTACCCCCTCACCCCTCCCCCCGTCTTTCATCCCGATCCCCAACTCTAAATCCCCCATATCCATCATCATATCCATGTCCCACATATCCGTATCCTCCATATCCATGTTCCTTGTGTCTATCCCTCTATCCATATCTCACATATCCCTATCCCCTCAATCTTATTCCCCCATATCCCTAACCCCGTATCCCTATCCCCCACAGCCCAATCACCTCTATACGTATCCCCTATATGGCTTCTATCCCTTCTATCCCTATCCCTCCTATCCTTATCCCGCAAATCTCCCTAATTCCTATCCTCCAAATCCCTATCGCTTCAATCTCTATT